CAGCACCCGATCAAAGTATAATATCAGTTGTGAGGAGAATTAAAGAAACCTTAAAGTTATACTAGGAAGTCTCCTCAATTACTCTTATATTATTAACGACTCCATGGGAAAGCCAGAATTTACTCTTCTAAACAAGATTTATGTAAGCTTTAGTCCCAGCAACTATTCTCTGTTCTCTGTTTCAGAGGTCTGGTCGAATTGCGAGTCTTGGAAATATACACCTATCCATTAAACAGTTAAGAAAAAGAGAGCTTAAGCTTGAGGATACAATTGGAAATTACAGTGCTGAATTTTAAGGAAAGAATATCTGTTTACAACGAAATATATTACAGCGACAAGAGAGGGTAGAATGAATCATTTGTGAAAGGTTAAACAAGGATCCCAATATTCATGTCAATTTCATTGGAACTTTGTACTACGGTTCTCTTTGTATCTTTTTCCTCTGTTATGAGCTGAGGTTATTTGCCACTTACTTCCTATAGCCCTCGGTAATGTCGTGCTATGGACATATCGCGAAACAAATGGGAACGCAGTATGCACTTTTTGATGATGGATGTTGGTAACCGAATGAGATATGTTTTAAGATTTGATTATTAATGCAGGGAGTGATTCAAACATGTATGAAAGCATGAAAGCGAAAAGATGTAATCTTATAAGAGGCACGAAAGCTAAGAAAATCATACAAACCGTTTTAGGTCTCTCGAACCAGTTAGACGAGAAGGAATGCTACCAGCAAATGATATCGATAACTTAGCTTCCGTTGAGTCAACAAGATTTATAAGATCACTCAAGAAGATGTGTTTGTTAGGGATGCGAATTATATTGCTTCTGTTTATTCCGTTTGTGCTTTGGTTACCAACTTCCGCTTACGTACATTTGCCACGGTCAATGAATCATCTATTATCAATCACGATCAGAACTTTAGCTGTGATACTGGATTTCAATGGACTTCCGTAATATCGAATAATCGCTGTAAAATTCCCTTCTAAATTTAGTTTAAGAGCGAATGGGCTAAAACTTCATTTCCCGATTGAATCTTGTCGAATTGCGACTCAATAAAAACACGTCTATCCTTCATACTTTTTAGAAACAGAGAGATCTAAGCTAGCCTGAAAATTAGAATTCTATTTGCCGAGCTGAATTTGAAAGGAGGAACATCTGTTAACGGCAACAAGCTTTGGCTAAATGACATACGAAGTTTCTCCCGAAATGAAAAATATCTTGCGGTGAGAAAAAGCAAAATGACAAGTGGAATTGATAAATGACAATATGTAAAACAGATATTCCATTATTCTTGTTAATTGAACAAAGTAATATAATATTTATTGTCGAAGACGTAGAAGGTGCATGCACAATCTTCCGAGCCAGGGCTTATGTTAAAAACACTCGACAAACTAAAAATACAAAACAAGATATAATGTGAGTTATGCATATGCCAATATTAATATATATATATATATATATATATATATATATAGCTCAAGAGTATGTAAAAATAGATAAATTATATACAGTTCATACCTTGGCGTCCTGTGAAATTTACATTATTCAAGCGAGCACGAGATGTAAAACATTGGGAGATATAATTTGGGCCATCTAGTTTAAAACATTTCACTTCCTGTGGGTTTTCCCCGTGTTAAGCTAAGAACATAACGAACAAATGGAATGTGGAGTGCATGTTTTGTTGAGCTTGGTAATAGATTGGTGCCTTTCCAAGTAATGATATCTTCTACGACGTAAATATGTATGGAGGGACCTTTTTGCCAAAGGTAATCCAAAGGAACTCAGAATTGGAGAATGTTTCGGGCATGTCTCAAAATTCCCTAAAATAAAGATACCTATGTGGTAAACAAAGAAGTTAAGAAGTTTACTACCAATATTTAGGTCTCTTTGAAGGGTTAAAAAGCAAAGGCATCTCACCAGCAAAAGAGATCGAGCAAATATTCGTTAATGACGCAATCCGACTAAATTAGATTATTTTACTTCTATTTTTAAAGCATTGCGAAAAAAGTAATCAATCTACATTTTTGGATTCCGCTTATGTACGCATTACAAATTCAGCTTTTACTCTATATCTTTTGTATCTCGTTACAAATACTTTCCCGCATTTGCAACGAGGTACGTATTCCTCCATTTCTACGTCCCAGGTGGCCATAGTTTTTCCCCTCTTTTGCAGCAAATTGCGTATTTTCCCGCATTTGCAAATCTTTCGGTGTTGTTTTCTGTGGTTGCATTGGGTTGAATTCTTACCTCGGTGGAAAACGACTCACACGCTCCATCGTTAGCCGCTGTTTACGTTTTGCTCCCCATAACACGATTTGTATCATACTTTTAAGTTATGTGAATCTGCTTTTATTTTTAAAAGAAAATAAAGAAATAAACTCTTACGTGGATGTCTACCTTCTTACCACATCGTAACTTTTATCGTCTTTTATTGTAGTTTTAGATTAATTGTATTGCAATTTTATCTTATATATTTTTGTTTGAGATGATTAACACCAAAAAAGCCCCCCCCACTGGGGTGTGCTAATAAAGTTTGTATTGTATTGTATATACCTAAGATGATGTTTCATTTGAAACTATACATTAAGGTTAAAAACACTTTTCTAGGCGAGAAGGGACTACACGACCGAGCGAAGTAAGTGAACTAGGTAGTTTTTGAATTTTGTTTCGATTGTGTTGTTTTCTTTTATCGCACAGGCATTATGGGATTGATTCGATGCTCAAATCTTAAGGCTCTACAGGTAAGGTGTTCCGAAAACTGGACAAAATTCAAGAAAATAAAATAAAGGTGGAATAATTTGGATATTCCTCGCATTGTTCGAAATACTCCGCAACTCGCAATCATCCAAATCATCGAAATAGGAATATTAATTTCAGAGAATAAGTGGGGGAAGTTTCTCATTCGAGAGACTGTAGAGTTGTGTCGATTAGGTTTTTGGTCAGATGAAATATTAGAGTATGTAACGCTAGCTTTTTAAAGAACGTGTGCCTAAGAAGAAGATTTTCCCTAACCCTCTATGGCCAAATTCGCAACTGAATATATTCAATAGCCTTTAGTTAGAAGTATTTAAAATAGAAAATATCATCATAGCCTTTGATAAGAAGATTTTTCTGGTGATGACTCCAAATAAACCGCGCAGCTGGTAACGAAACGAAAGTAAAATTTAGGCTTAAAACAAATCGGAATAATGATTTCAATGAGACTGTCATAATCAACGTTTCTATAAACTGCTACGATTAGTTGCAATTGGATGGCTTAAAATTCCTTACTCGTGTAGCAAACTAGGCTCAAATTTAGTCTCTTCCTCTGTCCTGACTCTGCCCTGACTCTGTCCTCTGCCGTGACATTTCGTGCTAATTCTCGAAAGTCAGATTTGAAACTCTTTACGGTGGCCAATTTGCGTTATCAACTCTTTGCAAATACTAAATTGTCCCGTTACACTTCCTCACCGACGCAGCACCTCAGTTTCTTTAGAAACTTGACTTCTTTATAATTCAAATTTTAGATAGAAATAAGAGAGATGGTAAGTTTTGAGCTCGGTAAAGAAATAAAGAAAGATGGTTTTCGTCTTGTCACGAGCGTAGGACTCTATCTACAAACATTACGCTATCGACATTGCTGATCATAGCAGTATGCAGGACTTGGTAAAGACAATGTTATTGAAAAGTACTTTTCGCACGTTCTTAGAGGGAAATTCAAACCTCGATTTAAAGGTATATTAAAGTAATTCAAATAAATTTAAACTTTCCGAGAGGATGTTCCAACGAAAAGAGTCAAAAAACAACATAAACCTTTTTTTGTTGTTGTCAAGTCTAACAATTTGTGCAAGTTGCTCTAATGAAAGAACGCATGAAACATCCTACTTCGCTCTACCATGATCATCCCTTGATTCATCATTAGACATAATAGGTGACTTTTTGAGCCCGAATTTTTCCAGCGTGATGTCCGAATTAGATAGATATTTACGTCTGACGATATTGCCGCTTGTACTCCATCTTGAGGGGTACATATCAAGACCATTTGTCTCAGTTGATGTGAAAGTGTCTGATATCGCCCTCGACGCTTTCATTCTCGTAAAGTACGTATCTCTATTTATCTTGTGTTACGGTATAACCTAACCGACAGAGAAACGCTGCTCCAACGAACTAAACTACTTTTTAAAACTACAGGTAATATTCTTACTTAGGAGCGACTTACAAGATAATAACTTACAATATAATAACGTGGGTCCTAAATATCTTGCTTGAGCCCTCTACAAACCATATATTAGCATACCACTTTACAAACTCAATACTTTCTCCAAAGTTCTTAGTTCCTTGCACACCGACTTGCCACCACACGAATTCACCACTTTCTCCAAAGTTCCTAGTTCCTTGCACACCGGCTTTCCACTACACAAACACACCACTTTCTCCAAAGTTCTTAGTTCCTCGCACACCTTGCATGCAGCTTCGTTGCGCACTCACACCGTCTTGCATTTTTTTCTCTCTCAAGGGTATCTCTCGACAAAAGGAAACTACATAAGCGGCGACTACCTAAGCGCCACATAGGCAATATCGTGATGTTTTCGCATTGCGCATAGCTGCGTAACAAGTATGATGCAATAACTGCGTTACTCGACAAAACTTTCCAGAAAGTTTCCTGACAACGAGGTCAGCGTAACTATACAGTATGGATATCATTTACAAAAACAATATTACTCATTAACACCGGAGATGCCAATTTCTCCTGACACTGGCATCGAGTAAATTTGAGATTCACCTAGGGATCTTACGTTTACACTCAAACAGATAATGAAGAACACGATTTTCCCTCAGTTGAATCACTTAAAGTCAGTAAAAAATGTCGATTTTTTACTTACTTTAAGCAATCGATAAAGCAATCAAAATGCACTCTCCTGTTTAGAGCTCGGTGATAAGTGCTGGGTACTTGTAAATCTTACTAAGGATACAACTGACTCAGACTCAGCCGATGGTAAGACCCCAGCTCTAAATATCTGATGGGGAACTACACAACAACGAAGTAAGTGTAGCAGGCAGTTTTTTAATTCTGGAATTCTTAATGGATAAATAATTACGTTCACGAACGAATTGCTATATTGTAAAACCCCGATGACGAGTACCGTCGGTTGCAGATGAGAAAAGTTTGCAGTTATTTGCAAATATACCAACAGGTTCAGAATCTGGAATGGAAGTAAGGTGAAAACAGAAGCTCCTGTAATCAAAAATAATGTGTTTGCTAATTTGGCCTCTCTGATGACATTTCTTATGGTTACATATTGGTGATTTTTGTTTCCTCCAAATAACATAATACGCTACACACATAACTAATAGAGGTGTTGCAGGAAACAAAACTATAGGGCAGATTACGCTGTATCTTGTAATGGAGTTTAAGTTTGCATCTGTTATAGTGAGTATTGCTGCTATGATCCACGGTAGGGCAATAGCACAGATATAAACACGAAAGTTTGTAGTTCTGTAACGAAGAGGCCAACCGATGGCGAACATTTTCTCCACGGAAATAACAGCAAGTGTATAAATGGACGATGTACTTGTAGACATGTCAACACAGTTGAAAACGCGCCATGTTGTTATTGAAGCTGATTCATATGTTCCTATGAAAAGAGGAATGGTCAGCCCTCCAACCAGTAAATCTGCCAGGCCCAAACGTATCAGAAGAAATGAGGAACGCTTTCGGCGTCTCAGCTTAAGAAAAATCCAGATGATGAGAATATTTCCCGTTATGGTCAAAGTTGCAAAGAATCCAAAACATAATCTCCAGAACATATTCCAAGCTTTGAAATCCATGGCAATAGGGTCCTGTTTCCCTATATGATGATGCTGGAGAGTCAAAACAAAGCAAAATTTTAGCTATGTTATGTGAATTTTTATTCTTTTTTATTAACATTTATCATGTTAAAGTTTGCTTCACTGCCAATGTGTGGCTTCGTAGCTCAGTTGGTAGTATTGCCCGACAAATATCTGGCAGGAAATTGTTTCTCTTGATTCCAGTTGAGGAATCTATATCTGAATCGATATATTAAGACTTCTTTCTGCAATTTTTTTAAATTGAAGCTCACCTGCAAGTATGCTTTTTTTTAAAGTCGATATCATCCACAAGGCAAAATACTATGAATTTCATTTAATCGCGATGTTATGCAAAATTTATTTTCCAAGAAGAAAGTAAAGCTAACCTATGCAGGGAGTGTCATTCAGACTGTATACCAAACGTCTTTATGATACTTGCTTTCGGCTGACTGTCTTGATCTTGAGACGAACCCCAAGACTTATTCAACTCTCAGGCTACATACTTGTTTCAGAACACTCCCTTATTACGCCATTTTACCATAACATATGCCTCATTTTTACCCTAAAGAATCGGTAAATACACGGGAAAAAATCGGAGCCTGAAAATAGCCACAATGAACGATCCATATCTTTTTTCCTTTTTCTTATGGGTTTGAATTTTCAAGCAAATAACTTGAAAGCGAAGGGTATTTTTTGACGGTCGTAGCGAACATTTATATTGTTTCGATTGAGTTGTTTTCTTTTTTTCGCGATTGGCATTATGGGATTTATTCGATGCTGAAACAAGGTTGAGCATGTATGGGGTTTCGAAAACTGAGGGTGAAAATCCAAGAAAATGAAGTAATGATGGAGTAATAAATTTCCCATAAAACGAGTGGACATTTCTCGCATTGTTCGAAATAATTTGCAACTCGCAATCATCTAAATCATCGAAATAGGAATATTAATTTCAGAGAAGAAATGGGGAAGGTTTCTCACTCGAGAGAATGGAGTTGTGTCGATTAGGTCTTTTGGTCAGAGGAAAGATTAGATAGGGGTCGCAAATGCATGCTGAATGGCAAATGAATGTGTTTTAAAATGTAACTTTAAAGCCGAATATCAAGTACAATGACCTCCAGCTTTTCAAAGAACGTGTGCTAAAGAAGATTTCCCTAACCCTCTATGGCAACATTCACAGGGAAATATATTCAATAGCCATAGAAGTATTTACAATTCATTTAAGATTGTGCTAGGTAGATGAGAAAGAAGGAAGCCGGGTCATGGAAGGCTTTCTATTACGCTTATCTAGATTCCTCACAGAATTTCAAACATTAATGGTTATAATTCTATTAACGCAAAAGTCTCCACACTTGATTACGATATTCGTTTCGGCCAAATTGCGCCTCAACGCTAAAAAAAACTTATTACTAAAAAAAATAATTATAACAGCAACGATGATGATAACATTAATAATGATAATGATAATAGTAATAACGGTAAAATGGTATTATTATTATTAATATTATTATTATTATAACAACATTATTCCAATAATAATAAATATATTTGGTTTTTTTCCAGAGCAAAAATGTTTTTTATTGATATCTGAAATTTTATTTTTATCGACATATTGTAAAAAATATAGAATTATAACTTCCATTGTAAGTAGATTTTAGCACTTGAAATAAGTGGAAATAATCGGAGCGTAGTTCTGGCAATTGACATCCCGACTTGCCGTGTTCATCTGTCCTGACTCTGCCCTGACTCTTCCCTCTACCCTGACGTATCGGGCTACTGCTTGAAACGTCAGATTTGAAACTCTTTATGGCGGCCAATTTACGCTATCAACTCGTTAATAATACTAAATTTCCCCATCACACTCTCCCACCGACGTAGCGCTACAGTTTCTTTCGAAACTTGACTCTTTATAAATTCAAATTATTGATAGAAATAAGAGAGATGATAAGTTTTGAGCTCGGTAAAGAAATAAAGAAAGATGTTTTTTCTGTCTTGTCACGAGCGTGGGACTCTTTCTAAAAACATCACGCTATCGACATTGCTGATCATAGCAGTATGCAGGACGCGTGTCATCTGAACTTTGTAATACACCTCGTTCACCGTGGAGTCTCTATGGCCCAGTGGTAGAGCATCGGAGCACGGAATCCGAAGGTCTGAAGTTCGATTCCTCACGGGGACTCAGAAATTTTTCTGTCCCACACTCGTAACAAGACGAAAAAAAACATCTTTCTTAATTTCTTCACCGAGCTCAAAACATACCATCTCTCTTATTTCTAATATTTATTATCTTAGATCAAAGAATTGTGAACGATGTGAGGTAACTTAGATGTGCTCAACAGTCATTAACTAGGTACATCAAGCGCTAACATGTACAAGAGTACACTGCAACGTTTATAGTGCCGAATCTCTTTCACTCATTTATTTTGATTTTTTTTATTACTCAAATCGAGGTGTAGATTGTACATTATTTCAAATGAGCTAAAATGGATCAAGTGGTTTATCTAACAGTCTGGTTGCATGCGAATCACTTTTGATGTATGGCTTGGTAAAAGCAATGTGATTGAATAGTACTTTTCGCACGTTCTTAGTGGGAAATTTAAGGGTGATTTGTATTATCCAGCTCTTAGGTGTCGAAAGGAAACACGATGGCAACGATGAGTAAACTTTTTGATAAAAGAGAAGAAGGTGGTAAATTATGCTAAAATGGCTGAACCTCGGCTTAAAGGTATATTGAATTAATTAAAATAAACTTACCGATGGGATGTTCAAACGAAAAGAGACAGAGTACAACAGAAACCTGTTTTTTGTTGTTGTGCACAAGAGTACACTACAACGTTTATAGTACTGAATCTCTTTCACCCACTTACTTTGATTTCTTTCATCATTTTAATCGAGCTGTAGATTTTACATATTTCAAATGAACTAAAATTGATCCAGTGGTTCATCTAACAGTCTGGTTGCATGCATATCACTTTTGATGTGTGACCTGGTAAAAGCCATGTAATTGAATAGTGCTGTTCCAAATATCAGTATAATTTACTGACTCGTCATGCTTTATCAGCAGCGAATTAAGTTTTCTCGTGAAGGTGATTCAAAGGACATCTTAAGGAACCCTTGAAACAAATAACAATTATCAGTGTCATTGAGTTACAAGCTGGAGACATATTTTAATTATTTTTAGACTTCATGACCGGTTCGAGGTTGGTGCGTCGATGACTCATGTAAAATGTATCATGTAGGATTTTTAAAGGTATATTCAGTATCAAGGTAAAGTTCAAATTGATTCACTATTATAAACTTTCCAAAGAGTAATTTTAAATAGAGAATAATACATGGGCGCGCGAAGATATGGAACTTCCCTTCGAGTGTTTAACTCGATAGCTCATGAGTGAGCGTAGCGAACGAGTGAGCGGGAGTGTCAAGTTGAACACGAGAAGCGAAATTCTATATTTACAAGCAACTATGTATTATTTTGTTTGTCATATAGACACAATAGCCCTTTACTGACAAGAAAAGCCTACTTCATTAATGTATTGTGAATCGACAATCGTAGAGTGCGTTGGCGCTAACAAAAATAACAATGGTCATAGTTTTCAATTTACAAATGTCTCATTTATTGACTTGTTCCTTACCGACAGAAGAAGTCTTTCCGGTAAACTACCAAAATCGGCTAGTGGCAAATCTTCCAGTTGTCGATTTTCATTCTCAGCCGAGAGAAATGCTAACACCAAAGCCGCTGAATACGAAACTGTCGGTTTTTCTTTTAGTAAAGGGGGTAAGTTTCTAAAGAAACTGTGGTGCTGCGTCGGTGGAAGAGCGTAGCAGGTAGTTTAGTGTTAACAACTAGGTTGAAAACGTAAATTGGCCACCGTAAAGAGTAGGTGTACTTATAGCACATAGTATAGTATATAAAGTATACTTTTAGTATATTGGTTTTCTTCCCCTTTTGGGAAAGTTTGAAGCTCACTGTCTGTCAGCGATACGGATTTTTTAATGTTTTAGCCGCCATAATTCGAGAAAGCTCCGACAAACAACTTGAATTTAGAATCTTGAAGTCTTTGCCGCTCATTCATCAACCTGACCGAGTGGCACCAAAGGCAAGTGACGTGTCAGCAGCTGATTGCCTTTGTCAACACACGTGAGAAAATACGATATTTTTTCATGTGTGTTGTTACGGCTTTTCTCAGGGACGGAAATCCCTGTATAACACCACAGTTTATGTGATAAAGTATGATATCAGTTGTGAAAAGAAATCCTAAAGTTATACTAGGAAGTCTCCTCAATTACTTTTAAATCCTTAACGACTCCATGGGAAAGCCAGAATTTACTCTTCTAGACAAGATTTATATAAGCTTTAGTCCCAGCAACTATTCTCTGTTCTCTGTTTCACAAGTCTGGTCGAATTGCGACTCGTGGAAACATACACCTATCCATAATGCGGTTAAGAAAAAGAGAGCTTAAGCCTGAGGATACAGTTGGAAATTGCAGTGCTGAATTTGAAGGGAAGAATATCTGTTTAGAACGAAATATATAACAGCGACCAAAGAGGGTAGAATGAATCATTTGTGATAGGTTAAACAAAGATCCCAATATCCATGACCTCTGCGATACCGGTGCAGCGCTCTACCAACTGAGCTAACAAGCCAACTGGGAGTTGGTCATGTTATTCATCACTTCACGGGTTTATTCAGAACCAACTTCATGACCAGCTCCCAGTTGGCTTGTTAGCTCAGTTGGTAGAGCGCTGCACCGGTATCGCAAAGGTCATGGATTCAAATCTCGTACATTACTGCGAGGATCACTTTCATTCACAAATAACTAAATTAGAAAAAAAAAAAGGAATAACTTTTCCCCCCTGTTTTTAAAAGAGGATGTTTCACCAACACAAATTCATTAGATTTAAAAGTTTGCTTCTTGTTCCTCTCGTTCGATGAGATCGTTACCAGTAAACGCAGCAGCTTTCTTTGGCACAATTCTTGACCTTTCACGGCGGCAACAGAGCAGTTTGCAAAATTCCCTTCGGAACTCGCCATTTGTGAAAGCGTAAATAATAGGATTGATTGAAACACTCAAATAAAATAAAAAAGTGACAAGCAATTCTGAAATTCTTGAGCTGGTTTCAGGGAAAAAACGAAACCAGAGGACAAATACCCACATTGGTATCCAGCAACACAAAAATCCCGCTGCCACAAGGACCAACATTCAAGTAACCTTTACTTCTCTCACTTAGTTGGTTACTGAACAATTTTCACTCCCGTTCTGTAGCGATGAGACTACACTATGTTGATGCTCATTGGTTTTGAGAAATATCTTATAATAACTGAAAATGCCGACAAACAACGGTAAAACAAAAAGTAATCCAAAAGTGGTGCAATAATGAACGATTTGACTTTCACTGGTTGGGAAAGCAAAGACGCACACTGCGTAGCTTTGCATAAATTCAATTCGTAACCAATCTGTGAGTCGGACAATGAGCAGGTAAAGTGCAAGGGAAAGCCACAAGCAACTCAACCATATCTTAGATCTTTGGGACGAAAACATCTTGTAATGGCTTGTCTTTTCAATTTTCACGTAGCGGTTAAACGCTGTCAAACCAAGGGTCGCTGGGGTAAAATAATAGGTAAATTCAGTAACTGAGCCTTGAAATTGGCATAAGGCGTCGCCAAAGACCTATCTTCCAACGATCAGCGTGGTAGAAGCTACCGGCATATCTACTATTCCATACAGCAGATCACTTACCGCTAAAGCTATGATATACAGGTTGGTGGTTGATCGCAGGTTTGAGTTTCTATATGTTGCCACACAAACCAGACTGTTTCCAATGATGCTTGTGATGCTCAATGCAATACAAACACTTGCCTCGGTTATGAAAACAAGTAAGCTTCGGCTTGGTAACTCTAGGTTTGACATCTTTTCTACCAAAAAGTTTGATTAATAATTTAAAATTTAAGAACGTATGAATAAATAAATCGATTGAATAAATCGATGGACAAATAATATGATAGCTAAACTTGTGGCTGCAGCCGCAATAAGATAGTTAATTGAGCTATTTTTTAGAAACCTGGTTAAAATCTCAAAAAATTTAACCCGGTAAAAGGTTGGTTAAGATGAAATAAAGGGGCTTTATTTTTGAAAGGCGGAACTGAACTGGGTTATGAAGTGGGAGAACGTGACATCATAGGGAAACCAAAAAGACTTCGAGGGCCACGATGTTATTTTCTTCCTTCTTTCTTTCTTTTCGACTTCTTTCTCTGCAATCACGGATTAGATGATCCTCCTTCCGATTCGTTCTACGCTAACTTCTTGGTTACCGTTAACGCAGATTCCGTTCGATAAAAAGCCGAAAAAAGCGATTGATTTTTAAGAAATAACCCGGTTTACTTGTCAAGTGCAGTCGCGGCCAAGGAAAATAACAATCCTTTTTTTAACTACCTAAGTTCCTAGCAAGCTCCTTCACCGCTCTCAGGTTTTCGCGAAGCGGCGACGGATTGTTTTCTTTTCATTATTAATTCTTTTATTCATCGTTTTGCACATTTTATTTCAAACCGGTATGTGATCCACTAGAGTTATTATGAAATATGACAGGGGGGCTGTTTAAAGACTCGAACAAAAATCTTTATGGCCCTTAATTTCATTGGACAGAGACTTAATGAAACTCGGAAACAGCTAGAGGGTTTTGATAAAAATAAGCAGAATTAAGGAAGTGATAAAAAATTTAATAATCATTTCGCTGGAATTGGTTTCATTATTCGTAACGCTTGTGCTCTTTAGACTGCATATACTTCGTTATCTAAGCTATTGTGATGAACTGGTGAAATCACTGTAACCTTCTTTGGGCAAAGTGCTTTTGATTGACGAAGGCGAGATGAACCAAAAAAGAGCAATTTTCTTTTTTATTTTTTTATTGTTACGGACCTTTAATGCACATTTGCAATCGAGTATATAGCTTCAGGTCGGTCGTAGGTATGATATGAATCACTTACTGTTTTTCCAGAAAAATTTACTTGCCTGCTGAAGCGTTGTCGTCTCGTCGATTTATCGTTCTCTCTTGGTGACAAAATGCAAAGATATATCTCCAGTAATCGGCGATATCTCGGGGGAATGAACCACGATATTCGGTGATAATTGATTTCATTATTTTTAGTACTACTGTAATATCATATAATACTATTGTCGAAATATGACCATCTAATTTTGAACTAATTCTTGCTATTTAAAGGTTAGACACTTATATAACCGAAGGTATTCGCGGTAACAATTGAGATAAATTTAAGTTAAATTAATGAGTCAGTCAGTATTGTAGTATACGCAGCCTAATACGATCTTAACATGTGAAAATTAAGGGTTCTACAAAAAGATCCTGTGCTACGCCAGATATGAAAAACAATTAAAAAAACCCTCTTCAGATGTGGTCAAAAATATGTAGAGACGTAATAATATAACTTTATCTTATCTTACCTTAGTTACGCAGTATATTTTGAGGTGTTTTAATATTTTTTTTAATGGTAACACCCAGTGTCCGCAAAAGCGTTCCAAAGCCAGTCGAGAAATTTAGAGGGAGTGCTGAATGATTCAATATTATTATCTTAAAAAGTGACAGGTGAGAAAGAAGGCTGGTTGCAGTAATTCTCAATCACGCAACTACCAGCGGATGTTTGTTTCTCTTGGAAAGCGGCCAAATTCCATTTGTGTCATCACCATCAGTCCACCAGTGGTTATATCAATATTTTCCAGGCCTTACTCTTGGTTTTCACGTGACGTCACAGCATATGCAAATTAGGCGTCCGCCATATTGGTGTCGCAGAAGCATATTAGCATATGTCAAAATGCAGTGTTTTGGTGCGTGATTCTTTACAATATGTCGCGTGATTTGGACAAAATTTCTGAAAACATCAAAAGGGAAGAAAAAAGGAAGATATTTGCAATACAATTTTAAGCGATTATGTAAAAAGACTAAAGTCACATGTTAAACAAAAATATTTAGAAAAAATATCACTCGTGGGGATCAATCCCGCTACATTGATCGACGCAAAGTTAGATCCACAATGTTTACCATCCATAGAAGCAACAGATCTTCTGTTTTATTTGGTTATCGATACGAGTTGTTAAACAGAGAAACAGTTCAAAGCTTTCAAAAGCTTGGAGGCCTACAACCAGATGGTTTCGTATGGCTGATCAGGCATGCGTCCGCAAAGATGAGAAAACTGATAATTTAATTTATGTACAACGGAAGTCTCAACTAACCTATTGGTGTGAAGATTTTTTCGCCTCCAATTTCCCACTGTTAAAAGATTTTTCAGTAACGTAGGGAGCTTGGTAAAGTTATAAACGTGCAGTTGAACTCATTCAGGTAGAACTCACCATACGTTTCACATTTTGTCCAGGAATAACAGGGTAAGATTCTACCCGAAAAAGTTTCTCCAAATTATCAACAAAAAAAACGAGAGTTCCTTTTTTTTATTTCCTAACGTGAAATTCTTTCGATTAAGAAATGATGGGTATCCCAAACTTTTCGCCTTAAAGAATTGATCACAAGAGAACGAAAGGTGCAACTTGACTGAAATCAACTGAGTAATTTGGAGTGGACGATGATTTTGTTTAGCTTCCAAGATCTAAACCTATAATCGAAAGTTTTTTTTTTTCCAAGTTTGATTATTTTTTAGCCTCGGGTGTTAATTCATATGAACCTTTTAGAAAGCTCTCATTTGAGTAGCGACCATGAAATCATCTCACGTTAAAGTAAGTGAAATACTTAGTTGACGGTAAAATAGCTCAGTAGCAGTTTAATTCTCTAGAGAGCTCGTGTTTTTGTTTTCTTCCTTGACAGTGTGCCGGGATAATCAAAGATAAGAGAAAACTTTATGCAATCCGAAAAAAAACAGATTTCTGCGAAGATTCTTTGAACGGGAGTTTGTAGAAAAAGAAAATGTTGCTGCACTGTTAAATTTTACATAAATCCCTACGGTTTACGAAATAGATCGTTAATTTCGAAAATTGACTCAAGTAAACTATACAATACTGCATGTCTTGTGACTTCCCTCAGCAATTTTTATTAGTGGTATCATCTAATTATTAAAACAGGCAATTGGGCTTGACTCGATACGTGTACAAAATATTTTTAAAAGTAAAGTTATTTTCAATACAAATCTATTATGGCAACTCCCAATTCTCTTCAGTGGTATTTTTAATCAAGCGTACTTGGCATGGAAAAAACAACTGTTTGCTTTACACAGACAGACACCTTTATTTAATTCAAGGCTCAGGCGGTCGTTTCAGTTGCTTGAAGACTATTGTTTCCCGCTTGTCTCTCACGAGCTAAATTAGTGAACACAATACTTTCGATCAATCCATCCGTAGGAGCCCTGTTTCCCGCTCGTCTCCACTGAGCTAAATTAGTAAAAAACAATACCCCAGTCGATGCATCAGCAGGAGCCCTGTTTCCCGCTAGTCTCTCCCGAGCTAAATTAGTAAAACACAGCACCCCCAATCAATCCATCAGTAGGAGCCCTTTTTTCCGCTTGTTTCCCTCGAGCTAAATTAGTAAAACACAATGCCCCCCTATCGATGCATCAGTAGGAGCCCTGTTTCCCGCTTGTCTCTCCCAAGCTAAATTGGTAAAACACAACACCCTCAATCGATGCATCAGTAGGAGCCCTGTTTCCCGCTTGTCTCTCCCAAGCTAAATTGGTAAAACACAACACCCTCAATCGATGCATCAATAGGAGCCCTGTTTCCCACTTGTCTCTCTTGCGCTAAATTAGTAAAACACAGCACCCCCAATTAATCCATCAGTAGGAGCCCTGAAGACTAATTTTACCCGCTTGTCTCTCTCGAAGTAGATTAATAAAAGAAAACACTCCTAATTGAATTGTAGTTGAGGAGAATAGCATAATAATTTTTTTTTGCGCAAGATTTTCCCTTCTAAATGGACTTGAATTAAGTTTGAGAGACCATAGCTGATTGATAATGCGGGTATTGGGAGTCTTCGATCGATTTCTAATTTACAGAATTAATTTAGCTTTTTCCCATTACAGCCTAAGCTTTACATCTTTTATCTATTTATATGATAATTTATTATTATCATAGAGTTGTTGAAAAAAAAACAACAACTAATCACGGCAGAGCATCATGCTTTATAAGATCCCGCATGACCAGTCGACCTCATCGCTTGAATAAGACCAGCAGTATGCAGTCGAAACGTCGCGATCTGCATCACACGTGACTACATCAAAATATTGCAATGGAGTGGATGGATTACTGGCCAAATTTCATAAGTATGGGGCTACGCTCTTGGCGCTCCGCTATAAGACTATCAGTAGGTGTGGGACTACAAATTTGCGCTTGGCAGAAACCGATCTGATTTTCCGTAATATTTCCAAACCTTCCTGTATAACCTTCTTGCCGTCGTTCATGATTGCCTTGAAACAAGCTACACAATACAGGCCAGTGAAAAAATGTTTTATTATTTATATTTGGTTCAAATATTTTTAGGCCAACTACCATAAAATTTTGCGCTCAACATTAAAAAAATTACGTTTACATATGAGTTAAACTTTAAGCGTTTAGAAATTCTATAACGTAACTAAACAACCCCCCAAAAAATTACTCAATTCAAAACAAAACCAAAGAGATCGAACCACGAAATCGACAAGAAAAAGAAATAACAAAATAAAAATTCCGTCCGGCGTTCAAAGGATGATATTGCTCTGACACGAGCTTGCGAGACTTAAAAATCCACTGAATGATCTTCCCGTTCCACGCAATCGTTTTTAGTTACCGATTGGCACTATTCTTACCCTTTCACGGCAGCAACAGAGAAATTTTCGAAATTCCTTCCGGAACACGCCATTGGTGAAAGCGTAAATAATGGGATTTACTGAAGCACTCAGAAAAAAGATAAAAATATTAACCAAAGCTGCAATTCTTGGGCAGGTTTCAGGGGAAAAACGAAACCAGAGGACTATTGCCCACATTGGTATCCAGGAACACAAAAATCCCACGGCCACAATGAACAGCATTCGAGTAAGATTGGTTTCTCTCACTGAGTTGTTTAATGCACCATTGTTAGTTCTGCTTCGTAACAAACTGACTACATTCTGTTGATGCTCATTGGTTTTGAGAAATATCTTATAATAACTAAAAGTACCGATGCACAACGGTAAAAAAAAAAAGCAATCCGACAGTGAGACAGTAATGAACGATTTGACTTTCATCACTTTGATAAGAAAAGGCGCACAATGCAAAGCTTTGAACGAAATTAATTGTGATCCAATTTGTGACTCGGACAATCAGCAGGTAAAGTGCAAGGAAAAGCCACAAGCAACTCAACCATATCTTAGATCTTCGGGGTGAAAAAATCTTTTTGTAGTGGTTCATCTTCACAATTTTCACGTAACAGTTAAACGCTGTCAAACTAAGTGTGGCTGGGGTCACGTAATAGGCGAATTCAGCAACAAAACCTTGAATTTGGCATAACGCGTTTCCAAAGTCCCATTTTCCAACGATCAGCGTTGAAGAAGTTAGAGGTATTTCGATGGTTGCAACTAACAGGTCACTGACTGCTAAGGCAATGATGTACAGGTTGGTAGTGGATCGCAGGTTAAGGTTTCTGTAAGCTGCTATGCAAACCAGACTGTTTCCAATGAGGCTCGTAATGTTAAGAGCAATGCATATGCTTGCCTCAATTATAACAACAGTTAAGCTTCGACTTGGTAGCTCTAGGTTTGACATCTTATCTACCTGAAAAAGCGTAATAAATGAATAAGTGAATAAACAACTGATTTTCTTTCCAATACTTCAGGCTGTCTAGAAAAGCTCAATTTTATTTTACAATTACGGACTTAAAATGCAGTTTGTCGAGCATGCGTTTTCAGGTCGGTCCTAATTTATGTTTGAGGCGCGTCACCAACCAATCTTTCATACCAGTTTCGAGTCGTGCATAAAATCAAAATCAATATAAATTTTAGGTAGCCCATGTATGCTCTCCAGCCAAATCTTGTTATCAATATATTATTTGAACGCATCTCCATTGTTGCATTTAAGGGTAGAAGACCACGTATTTTGAAAATATCTTTACATAAACAAATAACAACTAACACGTATCAGATGGGTTAAACATGGCCTTCACTGAGTCCTAGCATTTTAGATGTAATTGTCACAAAATGGCATTGTATTTCAGAAGCTATATCTTTATATCACATCTTTCTGGATTTTGATTGAATCCATACAAACATGAAAAAGTATGGTGTTCCTCCTCAGTAGCAAAAATAGTTTTTAGATAAAAGCGAATAGATAAGTAAATAATTTTCATAGCCTACCTTACCTAAAACAAAATTCTTATATGAATCCTGGGGTTCTTTATAATGTTCCGGCAAAAACACTCAGAATCGAACGAGGAGTTTGCATTGTGAAAGCAGCACTTTAATCATAAGCTGCACAAGGCCGAGCTCTCAATAATCTTTCCTAATATATTCAAAACAGAAAGAAAGGTACCTTTAATTACTTTTAAGGCTCAGGGTGGTCTTTTTCAGCCGCTTTGTCATTCCATGTAAAGGCTTTTTATAACTTTCCGACGATAACACTCAGAATCAAACAAAGCTTTCTTAGTGCAAAAATCGACATTTTATAGGTTATGCAAAGCTGTTCAATAAGAAAACAGTAGATCGCACAGTGAATAATAATCTTTAATAATATATACAAAATGGACGCATGATTTTCTGTTCTTTAGTCTTTGTATAAAGATTGGTAAAAAAAATAGAATGGATCCATAAAAAGTATGGATAGTGAACTAACCCGTGGCTGAAAATAATTTGTCATCTGATTTAAAATAAATGATTTTATAGCCTATCTCATCTATGTATGGATATATGGATCCTCTATCTCTTCATAATTTTCCCGGGAATAACGCTTAGAATCGAACAGGGTGTTTGTATCGCAAAACCTGCATTTTATGTGATGAGCACAGCTGTTCAATAAGAAAGTTGTAGACCGAGAGCTGATTGACATCTTTTTCAAAAAAGCCTTTTCATTAATATTATTTTTTTCTTTTCATTTACTAATGACACGCGACAATTAAAGGATGACTGTTGCCTGTGGCTAGGGATTTAAAAGGAGTTAACAGTTTCTTTCACTGGTTATATACACTCTGATCGGTTATTTTGATGAGTTACGTTATCAATTCCCAATAGTGTTGTTTAACTCATTGAGTAAGGTAAAAGATGGTTTGCATGGTTGGAATTGTTGTCTTTCAATTCTACCAGTCTTCACCCGTCACAGTGCAGAGAGCGTAGCTTTTTAGAGTTAAAATTAGGTTTAAAAAGCGAAAAATGGATTTACTAGAGACATTATCTGTAACTAACCTTAATTCCACAAGAAAATTTCCCCAAAACGGTATTGAAGTGGCTAACTACTACTTTGTCTCCAAAGTTCACGTTTCCCTCATCCAAATTGAGGTTCTTTTTAGTAAAAAATGCCCTTTCGGCTTTCCTTTGAAATACCACAATTTCTGTTCATTTCCTAAATACTTTCAGAGTAGGAAAGGCCTTTCCATGCTTATGCCCATTTTTAAAGTAACCGGAAGGGCCAAGAGCGTTTGATCTATTCTTAACTTCCTCAAAGTGACGTATGCAAGACACACAATTGCTTGACGAAAGCCTAAACTAATGCAAGACTTAAACATCTGTATGTTTGACTATGATTTCAAGAAAAAGATAATTGTTTTTATTCTGCCGAAGTGTACATCAGTTTGTTGCTTTCGAAATACTTCGTCCTCTATTGAAAGGTAACCTAATATCTGGCCTATCGTCTCGTGTAACTTGCAACAGGTGGCAAGTTTGTTTGAAAATCGCCTTCAAAGGCGAGGTGTGTTACAAAAGAAACATGTCCCTATGTAAGGCGGCACGTAGTTATATCAAAATTTCCTTGTTTTTTGTGCGTCAAATGAATGAAGTTTATTTCCTTACATAATAATTATTTCTTTCTACATCATGACTGAATGAATTGTCTATTATACGGCAGAGCATTCAAGCCCTTGAGAAAACTATCAATTTGAAAGGAAAACACTGAAGTTGTGAAAATTCAGCTGGTTCGACTGATAAATGCAAATTATCATTAAACTGCCGTGTTTAATAAAAATTTCTAGCCTGATAAAAGCGGTAACTGCATTGGGATTATGTATGAACTAACTCAGTCAATAAGCATTTTATTATATGATCATGAATGACTTTTGAATATTTGGAAAAGTTTGTTTTAACCTAATAGGACGCGATAGACCGGCGCGCGCGGGGATAACCACACAAAAAAAGATATTACTATAAACACTCTTCCTTTCTTTTTTCGAGTCTGAGCAGGAAACTCACAATTCATCGAAGAGCGTGGCTTATTTTCACACTTTTGCTCACTACTGTCATTCAGTTTACGTTTTTGTCCGCTTTTCTTTCACGAACACGTGGAGTGAAACAGAAGTTTCCTTCATCCATATCAAGTGCGACAATGTTGAGAACAACCTGAGGATCTTTGAAACAAATTTTCCTTCTTAACCGAATTTTGTTCGGGTTTGACGAGACGAGCGGTTTGACGATTGTGTCATTAGAAGTCACGGATCAATTTCTAATTTACATAATTTATTTTTCCTTAAACAAAACAAATAGAAGAAGCAACATACCGTCTCAAATAGGGTCCTTCATGATAAAAATGTCCGTTGGTAAATAAAATTTCATGAGATAAATTTAGTTCAGGACCCAAGCTCATACTTAAACAAAATAAGTAGAGGCGGCAACATGTCGTCTCAAATAGCGTCCTTTGTTATAAAAATGTCCCGGGTAAGGCGGCTCGTCATAATATCAACATTTCCCTATGTGTGTGAGGATTATTTTTTTTTTCTGAATCAGGACTGAATTTATTTGCAAAATTTTTGACACCCTGCGATCCTCGCGGGACTCACTAAGGTTTTCTTCGCGTAGCTATCTTAAAAATGGACATCTTAAGACTAATAACACATTTTGAGGATGGTAAAGTGCAATTTAATCTTTTATTTATGTCAAATTACTCATTACATGTGGAAATTCTCCCTGTAAGTATATTTACCTACTCATAGAGCCTCACTATCCGATGGATAGGGGCCAAGACTTCAAAGCCATTGCCTGAGGTTCTAATATAACACTTGAAATTTTAATTTATATTAGGGAATCATGAATAGATTAGTGATAATGAATTTTGAAGATCCATTTATTCATTCTGATGATTGTGAGTTTATTCGAGAGGAAGCATGCTTGGGATGCAGGTTTGCGTCAAATTTTTTAATTCGCTTACCGCTTCATCATTTCATTTCCATGCAACTAATACCCCACTCACAACAAAGCTTAAATATATTTTAAGCTGTTTTGTTGAACATGATTTAAATTAATTTCTTTATAGAAGCTTTTTAAATCAACATGTCTGTCGACTTCAAGTTTAGCACTATGAAATTACAAGTCAGCGATAACTTAAATACTATTGAAAGTTCAGTTTTTCAGTTCTGCGTTTCTGAATTTCATCACGCTAAATCCCGTTTAATTAAACCATTTTGATGGTGTGAATGGGGTCTTAATCAAAGGCGCGCATTTACATATTTTCCTGTACGTAGAAATTACCTGGTTCAGTCATTTTTTTTCCCAATGGGAAGGAAGGGTGTTGGTGGTTTCGGTTCTGATGCATTGTATATATGATTAATAATTTCCCTTTAGAGAGATCTGGAGGAATATACTCTACCAACTTACTGTAATCTGATATGTTTATATTAATTCGACAATTATAGCGGGAAACATCATGAACATTTCTGCGAAACATAACATAAGTTACGTTCCCTGCTACTTTTAGCAGATAGGATGTTATATCAGAAACTTTGAAAATCTAGAAGACTTGTACGTTCGTTTCGCCCTCATGTTTCGCAATTTCCTTTTCATTAATTAATAAAGGCAGCTAGATTTCGCAGATTTCTTGCCTTTTCACGGTGACAACAGAGTAGGGTCTAAAATTGCTTTCGAAATGCGTCATTTGTGAAAGTGTAAATAAAGGGATTTATAGAAGCACTGAAATAGTAGAGGAAAGTGGCTAGCAAAGCTGCAATTCTTGGGCAGGTTTCAAAGGAAAGTCGAAACCAGAGTGTAAGTGCCCACACTGGTACAACAGCACCCGATTAATGTTTATTTCTTTCACTGAGTTGGTTACTGAACCATTTTCAGTCCTGTTCTGTGGCGACGGGACTACATTATGTTGTTGCTGATTGGTTTTGAGAAATATCTTGTAATAACTAAAAATACCGATACTTAAGGGTAAAACAAGAAGCAATCCGACAGCGATACAATAATGAACAATTTGACTTTCTCTACTTTGATAAGTAAAGGAGCACATTGCATAACTTCGGATACATTTTTGCCGAATTTGTGACTCGGGTAATGAACAGGTAAAGTGCTTGGGAAAGCCACAAGCAACTCAACCATATCTTAGATCTGCGGGGCGAAAAAATCTTCTTGTAGAGGTTCGTCTTCAAAATTTTTACATATACACACACACTTTATTAATTTCCAATTAAATTTTACAGAAAAGGGCAGGACAGATCAGGAGAGGTATTACCAGGATTTTACATTTTGTATAATCTCAGATAAATCTATATGAGAGTCTTGGGAACCTAATATGTTGAATAAAATTTGATTTACTTTTATTTTCAACGCATTTTTGGAAAGATTTCTTAATGCTTGAGGTGTTGCATTCCACACTTTTACTCCTATTCGAGAGAAGGAATTTGCTTGAACGGATAGCCTAGAAGGTTTGGTATAGAAGTTATTAGAGGCAGAAGAACGTGTATTGTAATAATGAACATTAGATATATCTTTAAATAGATCTTGAATATTGGATGGAGCTGTTCTGTTTCGAACGTCAAACATCAAATTTGCTATAGATTCATAATAAACAAAGTTTGGCGGTAAGATATGAGCGTCGACAAATAAAGGAATTGCATTCTCATTATGATCAGAAAAGTAGATAAAGCGAAGAGCTCGTTTCAGCAACTTTAGGAGCTTATCAAGGTAAGATTTACAAGCCTGACCCCATACTGTCAGACTGTATGTTAAGTAAGGAGCTATAAGAGCTTGGTATATATTTAAGAGGGTAGGCGTTGGCAGAAAGTGTCGTAATTTTTCGATTAATTGTATGGTTCTGCTTACCTTAATGATTATCGGTGGAACGCGATTAAACAATGAGTTGCCGGGGTCACGTCAGTGCTGAATATACTAACAAAACCTTGATTTTGGTCTACGGAATCGATTAAGTTCCCCCCTCCAATAATCAGTTACAGAGGCTAACGGCATTGCCACTGTTCCACATAGCAGATCGCTGACTGTTAAAGCAATGGTATAGAGGTTGGTAGTTGATTGCAGTTTTGTGTTTCTGTATGCTGCTATCGGCAAACCAGACGGTTTCCAATGATGCTTGTGATGCTCAAAGCAACACATACACTTGCTTCAGTTATGACAGCAGCAAAGCTTCGTATCGGTAACTCTAGGTGTGACATATTACCAACTGATTACACAAAATAAAACCAACAAAAACAACTAATAAGTAAACATATAAGTGAATTAATGGATTAAGAGTCTGTCCACGTGAGGACCGGGCAGGTGTGACACATGCCATCTCACTGATTTCTTTCAAACTTTCACAGTTTGTGAGGGTCAATGAGTTATTCAAGAATCCAAAGTAGTTCGGGTTCCCGTCTAATCCTTGGAGTATTAGAGCCCCCACATCAAATCACTGGGGTATAAGGCTAAAATTAGCTCGAAAAATGCACCTCCAACGAATCTCTCTCACACTAACAGAATGCAATGGATTTTGATCTTATTAAGTCCAATGGTTGTTTGAGCGTTAAGGAAACAATTTAAAGTTGGGGTAATTAGATTACTTTTGCCAATTTGTCAACGTTGTCTATAAAATTGAAATATACAGAACATTTTAGTTTGTCCAAGCAGTGGACATGGACACCATCTGCAGAAAAGACATCTGCATCTCGACCTGGGCCACTGGAGAACGCGCTTGTGCAGCGTTTCGACCAGGCAGTTTGCTGTAGGGCCACAAAGACGTGGACGTTGTTTGTCGACCATCACAAGACAACGAGCCACCAAGGTCCGGCAGATAAGACGCTGCACAGGTGGATGTCAATTTACACCAGTAATATCAGGTCTCTTTTTGCCTAGGAGGAAGAGGCCCAATGATTCGTTAAACACGATGGACAATGTTTCAGGTCTGGGACCATCAGGAAGCGCTTGACGGAGATTTTTCAGGCAGCAGGGGTGCGTCTTGATAGGAGGATTATTAAGCATTGCTATTTGTTTCGGGAAGATCATGTGTTAAAACAGCTGCTGATCATGACGCGCCATGAGGTCAGAAACGTCTGCAGGGCAGATCTCCACGTTAGGCGCCACGTGGTAGACTTCAGCATGATTAAAGAGATCAGTGACTTCGTCCGCCTCCGGACGAACAGTGCCCGGGGCTCCCAATTTTCCAGACAGGGTGACTTGCCCTTTGAAAATGACTCCAGTCTAGGCGCTTCCACAGGATTGTCACGTAGGCCGTGGCCGACCGCTGAGGCCAGAAGTATTGCTTTGTTACGGGAAGATAACGTGTTAAAACACATCCTGGCCCAGAAAGGAGAGGTCAGGTACTATTAAAAAGTTAAAAACCTTTTTCAGAAGGAGGAAGGCCTCCAAATAAATCCTGACCTCTGCAACCCTCTGTGTAGATGGAATTGTACATGTAAACCATTCAATTACATCTTTTATTTATTGTAAATACTGCTGCACATAAAAGTGGAAATATTTTAAAACTTTAATTATTATACCGTTGTATATATGTAAATATCCTGGCAAAAATGAGTAGAGATGGATACTCGATGATACTCTCAGTAGGTCGAAGAGGTTCGTTAGGGATCAAACACGAGCTGGTGTAGCCAACCCCCGGGGAGTGCCCCACGAATTTTCTCAGATCTCCGGATAATACTCTTGTCGTTTGATAGGGCAAGGGGGAACTAGGGAACCAAAGCCTCCTCTTTAACCACCTTTAACTTTATATCAATCTATTCAAACTAGGTACCATTTACACGGTTCTTTAGCCAATACATTCGTCAATATCATTTGACACTTTCAACGCAAACGGAGCAAGAACCTCTGAGAAATTTATAGCAAAAGCTGGATCAAATTTCCATAAAAAAGATGTAAAGATATGTGACTCTTCTTTTTTAATCACCACAGCCAAACTAAATAAAAATTACACCTAAATAAAACCAAAGAGCTTAACTTTGCGCCAGTATGATTTTCATTACAATCATCTTCGTTAAATCGACAAAAAAACCCGCTTAAATATGACTTTCGAATAATAAGCTATGTTGGGAAACTGATTCCGAAATATCCTACAAGGTTCTTAGTAGGCGGCTGTTAATTATGTTGTAATCATGATTGCAAATGAAAGCGCCTATATGGAAAATTATTCATAGAAATAGTTTGGGGAATGTCTCTAAAGGTGATTGCACTCTTTGAACCGGAACTTTCAATTTTTTTCTTGCGAACAAGGGCTTTTCTGGTCCTCTTGCAGTTTTTCATAAACGACTGAGCGTCACCTCTAATCAACTAAAAGCGTTTTGCGCTAATTTGTTATGAATTTAGAAAAAAAATATTATGTTCGAGGATAGAAAATAAGTTACTGATTACATCACAGGCATCAGAAAGAGAAACTCAGTAGAAAGTTATTCTGCTTTAGAAGCTGGCTGTTAACAAACGGAAAGTAGAATAAAATTAATTTATTTTCCATTTAACCATCAAGCCCTTGGATCTGAAAAAGCTTTGACGTTATAGATAGAAAAATTCTGAAGAAGCAAAAGGTTATGCTGAACGATTTTATCATCGTGCTTGCCAAATTCAAATTGCAATTCATTGTATTTTCATCACACGCATAGAAAAACCTATCCAGTTCTTACTCACAACCCTCCCACAATTTAGAAGTGAACTGATGTCGTCTTCTCGTGTTCAGCACTAGGCAAGGAGAAGTCACCATAAATAGTTTATAATATTAGACAGCGGGGTCTGATTGATGCGAGCAACACCGCTTTCCACATCTAAGAAGCTTTCTTTGGCAAACAATAACTAAATTAGCACCTCAAAAGAAACTACTCAAGTCGAGGCCAGTAATTTGATCTTTTTATTCAGGTTTGTTTGAAATTTCAAAAAGGCGCCTTCTGCGATATTACTCTCTCTCTCCCCGTCTCTCTCTCTCTTACCACTTTCTCTTTTTTAAGGCGTCTATAAATTATCCAACTGGTTTCCCTATAGCATAGTAGAAAACAAAACAAAACCGACCAACAGCAAGAAACAGCAATGACAAAAAGCAACCGTAATAAAAAAGATAAAAAGGAATGGAATAACTTTTCCGTCCTGTTTTTAAAAGAGGATGTTTTACTAACGCAAATTCACTAGACTTAAAAGTTTGCTCCTTGTTCCTCTCGTTCGACGAGATCGTTGTTAGTAAACGCAGCAGCTTTCTTTGGCACAATTCTTGACCTTTCACGGCGGCAACAGAGCAGTTTGCGAAACTCCCCGCGGAACTCGCCATTTGTAAAGGCGTAAATGATGGGATTTATTACAGCACTCAGATAAAAGAAAAACATGGCAAGCAATGCTGTAGTTCTTGAGCTGGTTTCAGGGGAAAAGCGAAACCAGAGGACAAGTGCCCACATTGGTATCCAGCAACACAAAAATCCTGCTGCCACAAGGATCAACATTCGAGTAAGCTTTATTTCTTTCACTGTGTTGCTTACTGCAGTATTGTCAGTACAGTTCCGTAGCGATGACACTACATTCTGTTGATGCTCATGGGTTTTCAGAAATATCTTATAATAAGTGAAAATGCCGACACACAACGGTAAAACAAAAAGTAATCCGACAGTGATGGAATAATGAACGATTTGACTTTCATTAGTTGGATAATTAAAGGAGCACACTGCACAGCTTTGAATAAAATCGATTTTAACCCAATTTGTGGCACGGGCAATCAACAGGTAAAGTGCAAGTGAAAGCCACAAGCAACTCAGCCATATCTTAGATCTGCGGGGCGAAAAAATCCTCTTGTAATGGCTTGTCTTTACAATTTTCACGTAGCGGTTAATTGCTGTCAGACCAAGAGTTGCTGGGGTCACCTGAGAGGTGAACATATCAAAAAAGCCTTGAAATTGGCATAAAGCGTCGCCAAAGTCCCATCTTCCGATGATCAGCGTTGCAGAAGCTAACGTCATGTTTACTGTTCCACACAGTAGATCGCTGACCGCTAAAGCAATGATATACAGGTTTGTGGTTGATCGCAGGTTTGTGTTTCTGTATGCTGCTATACAAACCAGACTGTTTCCAATGATGCTTGTGATGTTCAATGAAACGCATGCAATTGCCTCAGTTATGACAGCAAGTAAGCTTCGGCTTGGTAGCTCTAAGTTTGACATAGCACCTTCTGGAAATAGAAGAAATTAAAAAGCAAGTAATTGAGTAAATTAATAAACAAATATGTGAAGAGAGATGAAGATTAACAAAATGAAAGTAATGGCTTTTCCCCTTTCCAGGCAAACTACATCACCCGCACCTTTAATTCGCTCTCAGGGTTTGTGAACCGTCGAAATCTACTTGTAATCAGCTATCTAGTTATTATTATTCGTTTATTTAGTGGCTTTTTGTCTTTCAACCGCGTGACCCATCTTAATCTCGTCTTCTCGAATTGTAAGTTTATCCAATGCCAAGCAAGGGAACAGTGAGGTTTATGAAGACGTATGAAGATTAGCGACAGCGTTACAATCACATTACTTCCTTAACATATATAACATATTGCTTTGAATACTACCATCATATTCCAACCCTAACGACAAGTGAAGAATACACTGAATACAAAACATCATACTGGTAACTCGTATAATACCTACGCATTTCTAGAAGCTAAATAATCGTTCCTGATCGAGTGACTGTATTGCTAGAGAATCTCATACTACCTTTTTTTTCTGTTTTTTCATTTCATTTTATTTTTTTTCCATTTTATAGGTAAAATACAGGAGTGTAATTTAACATGCGTTTCCAATTCTTTTTTATATCCAAACCGCAAGTTAAAGCTCAACGGAAAAAATAAACATATTTAATATTTTCGTTCGAGTTTTAAACTTGTACAGTTGTATTGTCTCCCTTTGCAATCAACGGATACTTTTTTTAATCACCCACAGGTATAAGCTATCCACATACTCTGTACATGCAATGAGTATTTTGTTGATGTAGGCGCAAGCAACTTACAATTTATTTAAATTAGAAACAGTATTGATGACAAGCGAACGTTTGAAGATAAACGTAAGCCGTCAAACCTGTTTTCTCTGTTTCTTTGTTCCTGTTTTGCTATTTTGTGATTACAATCATAATCATCGTTTTCTTTATTATTGTTAATATTATCGTTGTTATTATTGTCGTTAACACCAGTCTGCCGAAAAGTTCCATTAGTTTGTTTCCACATTTACCTCTGGTGAAGTCTGGATCGAACATGAACTTTTTTTGATATTTCCGTTCGAGTTTTAACCTTGAACAGTTGTATTATCTCCCGTTGCGATCAACGGATACTTCTTTTAATCTCCCATAGATATAAGCTATCCATTTACTCAGTACATGTAATGAGCATTTTGTTCATGTTGGCGCAAGCAATTGCTTACAATTTATTCAAATTAGAAACAGTATTAATGACAGGCGAACGTCTGAAGATAAACGTAAGCCGTCAAACCTGTTTTCTCTATTTCTTTGTTCATTTTTTTCTATTTTGTGATTACAATCATAATCATCGTTTTCTTCATCATTGTTAATATTATCATTGTTATTATTGTCGTTAACAACAGTCTGCCGAAAAGTTCCACTAGTTTGTTTCCATATTTACTTCTCGTGAAGCTTGGATCAAACATATCAGCTGAAGGCGTCAATTCATTTTATTTTTATATTTTTTTCCGTATCCTTATATTTTTCCTGTTACAGAGGACGTTAATTTGCATATATGATTTAAGTTTAAAATTGACGAACATTTATAGGGCATCCTTCAAACTTTTATCGCCTAAATAAATTATTTTAGTAATTGAATGTTTCGCTTGAATTGAAATCTTAATCTTATCTTGAAAACTTAAGCTGTCCATGCAAGCTTTCTGACTAAATTTTGAAAATTCTCCTTTCTCTCAACAAATCTTTAACAATGCATATGGGCTCCAAAAGGTGTATTTTGATAACGTCTGAGTAGAATTGATCAAAGAAAAAATAAAATGTTGTATGATAAAAAACGGTAATCATTATTGCCTTCGGTTGGGGCATCATTATGGGAAGTGTCAAGATATGTCATTCTATTTCTGAACCTCTTTTGTGTTTTCAGTCTACCCTGAATTCAGTGTTAATAGATAGAAACATGGTAAATGATGGCTTTATTAATCAGTTTAAAGTTAAAAGTAATCTTTTTATTGAATAGTCGTCGTATCCTGCCTTACTTAAAACTGTTTTCATAGAGGGTCTTTGTAACTTCCAGCGTTCAGACACAGAATTGAGCGAGGTGTTCCTAAAGCCAGTCAAACGTCAGCTTTTCCCCGCCGTCGCAGCACCACAGTTTCTTTGTAAACTTAGTCTCCTTTATAGTTTGCTTTATACTTGTCTTTTCCAATACGTACAAAATCGACACCTTTTTTTATTCTTTTCTTAAATAAAAAAGTGAGAGCTGCAGGTGAGGGGGAAAGCTGTTTACAATAGGTCTTAAAGACACAACTACTAATGGATTATTGTTTTTGCCTAAGGCCTAAAATACATTCATTCATTCAACATTTTTTATTTCAACATTTCCCAGACCGTTGTGTTATCAGGCTTTATAAATAAACGGAATTGGACAAAAACCTATCGTCATTGCATCGGTAACCCAGAGAAATTTGACACATAATATGTTTGGTTTTAATTTTACTTTATAAAAGCAATAACCCACACTTTCTGTCGGTTTACCAGCGTAATACCCAACTCGGAACGTTGGGAAAACATGCACTCGAAAAGTTGTTAATCACAAGTAAGAGTGTGGTGCGGTGCTTAATGACTTTCCACGAAAATGGCGAGAGTAATTGATAAATAAATGTACATGTGGAGTTTCACTACTCTACCTGAGAAAGATCGACGATTACGTCACTCCCTGTTTCCCCTGACCAAAAATGTTTGAAGAAAAATAATTATCTTACCTCGGTGATTGATAAAGTCACGAAAGTGCCGCTGAATTTATTTGTGGCGTCGTTAGCTTTAAACTTTGTCTCACGATAAGAACTCAGAGAGCTCGACCAAATTTCTCAAAATTGCTAGTAAAGAACTCTAAAGCTCTCATTTTATTTGCTTCAAGGAACAGCTGGCTGCGAGTTAGTTGCGTATTTCGAATTTCTCAGTATGCGAGGAGTTTGTGACAATTATGTGAACTGTCCGCGATCCAAGCGAAAGTTTTTGCCAGTTTAAGCATTCACTGATAATTCTAATTAGACCTAGCGAAAGCTTTACTTTACGCTGAGATTCGATGAAAACAAGTCAGATCACAGAAGAATATGGGACGGTATTAATAATAGCTCAACGGCGGTCAAACTTCCTTGCAAGGTTGGAGCTATTGTCTTTTTAACTTTACCAGTCTTTATCTGTCACAGTGCAGAGAGTGTGGCTTTTTTTAGAGTTAAAAATTGGGTTTAAAAAGCGAGAAATGGATTATTAGATATCATCTGTAACTAACCTTAATTCCACAGGATAATTTCCCCAAAACGGTTTTGAAGTGGCTAATTCATACTTTGTTTTCAAAGTTGTCGATTATCTCACCCAAACTGAGGTTCTTCTTAGTGCAAAATGCCTTTTTCCTTTTAAATACCACAATTTTTGCTCATTTTCTATAAACTTTCAGTGTAAGAAAGGGCTTTTTATGCCTATGCCCATTTTTAAGGTAACAGCGGAAGGGCCAAGAGCGTTTGATGTATTTTTAACTTCCTCATAGTGACGTCTGCAAGACACGCAATTGCTGAAAGAAAGCCTACACAAATGAAATAAAGACTGAAACATCTGTATGTTTGACTATGATTTCAAGAAAAAAAATAAGTAGTTTTTTATTCTGCCGAAGTGCATATAAGTTGCCGTTTTCGAAATACTTCGTCTTTTTCATTGAAGGTAACCCAAGAAAATTAATCTATACTTGCATAAGCTTGATTGCGAATTTTCATCAGCATTTTTATTAGTTACATATCTGGCCTATTGTCACTTGTAACTTGTAGCAGGTGGTAAGTTGAAAGGCGAGGTATTAAAAAGAATGAATTGTCTATTATTCGGCATAGCCCCAAAGCTCTTGAGAAAACTATTATTTTGCTAGAAAAACACTGAAGTTGTGCAAATTCAGCTGGTCCGACTGATAAATACAAACTGTCATATAAACTGCGGTGTTTAACAAAGATTTCTAACCGGAAAAAGCGGCAACTTCATATGTGTAAATTGGGATTCTGTATGACTTGACTCAGTCAATAGGCATTTTATCATATAACCATGAATAACTTTTGATATTTCGAAAAGTATGTTTTTACTTAAATAGGACGCGATAGGGCGGCGTGCGCGGGAATAACCACAAAAAAAGATTATAACATAGCGCGTAAATTTGTCTAACAATAGGAAAATGAAGCACGCTCACGCAATTGAATTTCATTGGACAAATTTACTAGCTATATTATAAATTTGCTTGCTTGGACACCGCACCTATCAAGCCTGACAATGAAAAGAACAGCTTAAAGATCTTTGTAATCAATTAATCTTCGTTACTAAACGAATTTTGTCCAGGTTTGGGCAGACAAGAGCGGTTTTACAATTGTGTCATTAGGATTCCCGGATAAATTTCTGATTTACATAATTTTTTTCATGAGATAAATTTAGTTCAAGACACAATCTCACTCGATAGGAGCAACAACGTACCGTCTTAAATCGCGTCCTTCGTAATAAAATTGTCTCTAGGTAAAGAAAAGTTCATTAGATAAATTTATTTCAAGCCCCAAGCTCACACTTAGACAAAATAAGTAGAAGCGGGAACATGCCGTCTCAAATAGCGTCCTTTGTTATAAAAATGTCCCAGGTAAGGCGGCTCGTCATAATATCAACATTTTCCTGTGTGTGTGAAAGGATTATTTTTTTTTTCTGAATCATAACTGAATTGAGATTAAACTTTCTGATAGCCGACGATCCTTGAAGGACTCACAAAGGTTTCCTGCGCGTAGCTGTCTTAAAAATGGACACCTTAGGACTAATAACACATTTTGAGGCTGGTAAAGTGCAACTTAATCTTTTATTTATGTCAAATTACTTATTAAATATGGAAATCTTTCTCATTTTTAGTATATTTACCTGCTCGAAGAAACTCACTATCCGATGGATGGGGGCTAAGAGTTTGAAGCCGTTGCCACCCAAAGATTAAAAAAGATGCTCGAGGTTTTCATGTAACACTTTAAATTTTAATTGCTAACAGGAAATCATGAATAGATTAGTAATAATGATTTTTTTAAGAGCCGTTTATTCATTCTGATGATTATGAGTTTATTTAGGAGGAAGCATATTTGGGATGCAGGTTTGCGTCAAATTTTGTAACTCGCCTACTGCGTCATCATTTCATTCCCATGTATCTAATACCCCATTCACAAGAAAGCTTAATTATATATGTTTTAAACTGTTTTGTTAAACATGATTCAAATTCTTTTCTTTATAGAAGCTTCTTAAATCAACATCTGCCGACTTCAAGTTTCGCACAATGAATTACAAGTCAGCGATAAATCAGATATTATTGAAAGTTCAGTTTTTCAGTTCTCCGTTTCTGAATTTCATCATGCTAAATCCCGTTGAATTAAACATTTTGCTGGTGTGAATGGGGTCTTAATCAAAGGCGCGCATTCGTATATTTTCCTATATATAGAAATTACCTGGTTCTGTTTTTTTTCCTATGGGAAGGAAGGTATTAGTGGTTTTGGTTCTGTTACAGTGTATATATGATTAAAAATTTTTCTTTAAAGAGATCTGGCACACGACTGAGGAATATACTTTACCAACTTACTGTATTCTGATATGTTTGTACTAATTCGACAATTATAGCGGGAAATATCATGAACATTTCTACGAAACATTACATAATTAAGTTACGTTCCCTTCTACTTTTAGCGGTAGGATGTTATATCAGAAACTTTAAAAATCTACAAGACTTGTACGTTCGCTTCGCCCTCATGTTTTGCAATTTCCTTTTCATTAATTACGGCAGCTACATTTCGCAGATCTCTTGCCTTTTTCAAGGTGACAACAAAGCAGGTTCTGAAATTGCAGGTTTCAAAGGAAAATGCGCCAATAGTAGAGGAAAGTTGTTAACAAAGCCCTTGTCAGAGCGATTCTTGGGCAGGTTCCTAATCCTTGACAATAATCAGTGTTACAGAGGCTAACGGCTTTATTCAGAATTGCCGAAAAACTGGTTGGTCTTCATAGTGAAGATTAAACCATCAGGGTCACGTCAGTCGTGAGTATACCAACAAAAAAACAATAATAGTGTTACAGGGGTTGCCACTGTTTCACATAGTAGATCGCTGACTGCTAAAACAATGATATAGGGGTTGGTAGTTGATTGCAGTTTTGTGTTTCTGTATGCTACTATACAAACCAGAATGTTTCGGTTGATGCATGTGACGCTCAAAGCAACACATACACTTGCTTCAGTTATGACAGCAGCTAAGCTTCGTATTGGTAGCTCTAGGTCTGACATTTACCAACTGATTACACAAAATAAAATCAACAAAAACAACTAATAAGTAAACATATAGGTGAATTAATGGCTTAAGAAACTGTCCACGTGAGGACCAGGCAGGCGTGATACATGCCATTTCACCGATTTCTTTCAAACTTTCACAGTTTGTGAGGGTCAATGAATTATTCAAGAATCCAAAGTAGTTCGGGTTCCTGGCTAATCCTTGAGGTATTAGAGCCCCCACATCAAATCACTGGGTGTAAGGCTAAAACTAGCTCGAAAAATGCACTTCCAATGAATCTCTCTCACACTAACAGAATGCGACGGATTTTGGTCTTATTAAGTCCAATGGTTGTTTGAACGTTAAGGAAACAATTTAAATTTAGAATAATTTGATATAACTTCTGCCAATTGGTCAAGGTTGTCTATGAAATTTAAGTACGCAGAACATTTTAGTTTCTCCAAGCAGAGGACATGGACACCATCTACAGAAGGGACAGCTGCATCTCGACCTGGGCCACTGGAGAACGCGCTTGTGCAGCGTTTCGACCAGGCAGTTTCCCTTATGGCCACAAAGATGTGGACGTTGCTTGTCGACCATCACAAGACAACGAACCACCAAGGTCCGGCAGATAAGACGCTGCACAGGTGGATGTCAATCTACACCAGTAACATCAGGCCTCACTTTGACCAGGAAGAAGAGGACCACTCATTCTTTAAGGACGATGGACAATGCTATTTGTTTCGGGAAGATTATGCGTTAAAACACATCCTGGCCCAGGAGAGAGAGGTCAGGTGCTATTAAAAAGTTAAAAACTTTTTTTCTGAAGGAGGCAGGCCTTCAAATAAATCCTGACCTCTGCAACCCTCAACGTAGATAGAATTGTCTTATAAACCGCTCAATTACATCTTTTATTTATTGCAAATACTGCTGTACATAGAATTGTAAATATTTTAAAACTTTAATTATTAAACCGCTCTATAGATGTAAACATCCTAGCAAAAATGAGTCGAGCTGGTTAATCGATGATACCCCCAGAAGGTCCTTGAGTTTTGTCAGGGATTAAACACGAGCTGGAGTAGAGAACCTCCGGGGAGTGCCCCACGAATTCTCTCAGATCTCAGGATAACATTCTTGTCATTTGATACGACAAGGGCGGGATCAGGGAACCAAAGCCTCCTTTTTAACCACATTTAACTTTATGTCAATCTATTCAAACTAGGCACAATTTACACGGCTGTTTAGTCAATACATTCGTCAATATCAGTAGACACTTTCAAGGTAAATGGAGCATGCACCCTTAGAAATTAATAGCAAAAGCTAGACCAAATTTCAATAAAAAGTTGCTAAGATATGATGATTTTAGATATATAAAAATTCCTATATTTGCACTGCGGTGGAGAGATGTAATTAAGAGATCCTCGCAGCTAAGAATACTACTGAAACGATTAATGGTTAATAGGACCTGAAAAAAAAAATTCAGGCCCCGTATGGGAAAATGACCTCTGCGATACCGGTGCAGCGCTCTACCAATTGAGTTAACAAGCCAACTGGGAGCTGGTCAAAATTTAGATATATGAATATATATATATATATATATATATATATATTATGAGAGGAAAAAACGACGCAACTACATATCTTGACAAGCCTGTTTCGTGAATAGCTTCACTCTTCAGGGGTTTAAACCCCTAAAGAGTGAAGCGATTCACGAAACAGGCTTGTCGGGATATGTAGTTGCGTCGTTTTTTCCTCTCATAATATTTATTCTGCTCTGCTTCAACGTATTGAGCACTGTTCCACGCGAAAATCGACTTGCAGACTTCCTATATATATATATATATATATATATTATATATACTCGTTTCAGTAGTGTTCTTAGCTGCGAGGATCTCTTAATTTCCACCGCAGTGCAAATGTATGAATTTTCATATATCCAAAATCATCATTCACTTGGATGTTTAATTGGACCCAATTCATTGGCCAGCTCCCAGATGGCTTGTTAGCTCCATTGGTAGAGCGCTGCATCGGTATCGCAAAGGTCATGGGTTCAATTCCCGTACGAGCCTGAATTTTTTTCAGGTCCTATTTAAAACTACTCATTTTAGTAGTGTTCATAGCTGTGAGGATCTCTTAATTTCATTGTTAAGATATGTGACTCTTTATTATTTTACCACCTTAGAAACTAAATAAAAATCACACCTAAATAAAGCCTAATAACTTAACTTTGCGCCAATATGATTTTCATTGCAATCCGTTTCGTTATATCGACAAAAAAACCGCTTAAACATGACTTTCGAATAATAAGTGAAGAAGGGAGAGCGCACCGAAATATCGAAAACTGATATCTCGCACAAAATATGAGGTTAAGAGTAGTACTTTACATTGCACAAATCTTGTCAACTCTTATTTTAGATCCCCATAAACATTTCAGCCCTAACCCTTATACCAGTCCGGAGAAATAATGTCTTAAAGTGGGCGCACTCATTTCACCCTTTTTTTTTAAATATGAAAAATGTATGCAAACGATATGCAAAAATAAATTAATAAATAAATCAACAAAAAAAACAAAAAAAAAACTAACAACAACAGCAACAAAAACGAAAAACACACCATCGTAATCACAAAGACAAGGCAACACTATGATATAAAGTAAATGTGCCTAACCTTAAAAAACGAAACCTTTAGGCCATCTACAGGGGTCCTAAGCAATTATGTTTGACGTTTGACGAACGAAATCTCCCTCTAACATGTTTTCCATCTCAAAATCTACTCGGGAACTATTTTGTCGACGTAGAAAGTCTTGCAGGTATCGTTGCGAGCTATTATTAGCACTGTTACGTCATTGATATTGTCAGGCGCTAATTTTTAACTCTTTGCTGGTTTCTTTTTTCAAATTCTATTTATTTTCACCACATATTATAACTTTAAAGCTCTAAATAAAAGTTATTTTTTATACCTCTCTTTAGGGAATGTCGCTTAGTCAATGCTCGTATCCTTTTTCCTACTTCAACGTTGTCTGTGCTCAAATTTGCCTATGTCGATGTTAGAAGAGCATTTCATTCGTAAATTTGTAACCTGGCTGCAGAGCTTTGAACCAGGCGAATCAACTTGTCTACATCAAACTGATATTGATTTGTGTTAAGAAAGTCTGTATTTCAGTCCATATAAGTTAGTGTCTTTCTAGAAGTAAAAGGGAATTTTAAAGTCTGGCAAACAAGATATTGTTGAGGACTTGATTTGAATAACAGTTATTCCTATATGTATTTTTACGGCATACATCTTTAAGGGCATAGAACTTGGAGCTCTAACAGCCGGCATCTGAAGTCTTTGAAGGACGTTTTCCGACGAAAATGTTTTAACCTTTGGTTTATCTCGGCGTCCCATGTTCCACTGAAAGCGTTTACAAAATGCATTCACACTTATCCATGACAGATGAGTGGTAGGAGTGCCTCAGTAAGAAAAAAAAAGCAATCACCCCAGAGAGCATCAATTCCGTTCTCTTGATTCTTTTTTAAGTGTAAAAGACTTCTGAAACTGATTCCGAAATATCCTATAACGTTCTTAGTAGGCGGCTATTAATTATGCTGTAATCATGGTTGCAAATGAAAGCGCGCATATGGAAAATTATTCATGTAAATGATTGGGTGAAATATCTCCAAAGGTTATTGCACTCTTTCAACCGCAACTTTCATTTTTTTCTTTGCGAACTGGAGTTTTTCTGGTCCTCTTGTAGTTTTTCATAAACGACTGGGTGTCACCTCTAATCAACTAAAAGCATTTTGTGCCAATTTGTTATGAATTTAGAAAAAATATATGTTCGATGATAACGAATAAGTTGCTGATTACATCACAGGCATCAGAAAGAGAAACTCAGGGGAAAGTTATTCTGCTTTAGAAGCTGGCTGTTAACAAACGGAAAGTCGAATAAAATTAATTTATTTTCCTTTTAACCATCATGCCCTTGGATCTGAAACTACCCGGTTAAGGACAAAAGCTTTGACGTTATAAATTAAACTTCCGAAGAAGCAAAAGGTTACACTGAACGCTTTTATATCGTGTTTGCTATCAGATTATTCAATCTAGTATTCAAATTCAGTTCATTGTATTTTCACCGCACGCATAGCAAAATCTATCCAATTCGTACTCACAACCCTTCCACAATTTAGAAGTGAACTGATGTCGTCTTCTCGTGTTCAGCACTAGGCAAGGAGAAGTCACCATAAATAGTTTATAATGTTAGACAGCGCGGTCTGATTGGTGCGAGCAACATCGCTTTCGACATTCATTTAAGAAGCTTTCTTGGCAAACAATAACTAAATCAGCACCTCAAAAGACACTACTCAAGTCGAGGCCAGTAATTTGATTTTTTTTAATCAGGTTTGTTTGAAATTTCAAAAAGGCGATATTACTCTCTCTCTCTCTCTCTCTCTCTCTCTCTCTATCTCTCTCTCTCTCTCTCTCTCTCTCTCTCTCTCTCTCTCTCTCTCTCTCTCTCTCTCTACTCTCTTACTACTTTCTCTTTTTTAAGGCGTATATAAATTATCCGACTGGTTCCCCTCGTGTCTGCCTCTTTGAGAAATCTGAGCCCAAGCATAGTAGAAAAAAAAAAAACAAAACCGACCAACAGCAAAAAAAGAAAAACAAAACAAAAAAAACAAAGCAACCGTAATAAAAAATATAAAAAAGAATGGAATAACACAAATTCGCTAGACTCAAAAGTTTGCTTCTTGTTCCTCTCGTTCGACGAGATCGTTGTTAGTAAACGCAGCAGCTTTCTTTAGCACAATTCTTGACCTTTCACGGCGGCAACAGAGCAGTTTGCGAAACTCCCTGCGGAACTCATCATTTGTAAAGGCGTAAATAATGGGATTGATTACAGCACTCATATAAAAGAAAAACGTGGCAAGCAATGCTGTAATTCTTGAGCTGGTTTCAGGGGAAAAGCGAAACCAGAGGACAAGTGCCCACATTGGTATCCAGCAACACAAAAATCCCGCTGCCATAAGGAGCAACATTCGAGTAAGCTTTATTTCTTTCACTGCGTTGCTTACTGCAGCATTGTCAGTACGGTTCCGTAGCGATGACACTACATTCTGTTGATGCTCATGGGTTTTCAGAAATATCTTATAATAACTGAAAATGCCGACACACAACGGTAAAACAAAAAGTAATCCAACAGTGATGGAATAATGAACGATTTGACTTTCACTAGTTGGGTAATGAAAGGAGCACATTGCGTAGCCTTGAATAAAATCGATTTTAACCCAATTTGTGGCACGGGCAATCAACAGGTAAAGTGCAAGGGAAAGCCACAAGCAACTCAGCCATATCTTAGATCTGCGGGGCGAAAAAATCCTCTTGTAATGGCTTGTCTTTACAATTTTCACGTAGCGGTTAATTGCTGTCAAACCAAGCGTTGCTGGGGTCACGTGAGAGGTGAACATATCAACAAAGCCTTGAAATTGGCATAAAGCGTCGCCAAACTCCCATCTTCCGACGATTAGCGTTGCAGAAGCTAACGTCATTTCTACTGTTCCACACAGCAGATCGCTGACCGCTAAAGCAATAATATACAGGTTTGTGGTTGATCGCAGGTTTGTGTTTCTGTATGCTGCTATACAAACCAGACTGTTTCCAATGATGCTTGTGATGTTCAATGAAACGCATGCAATTGCCTCAGTTATGACAGCAGGTAAGCTTCGGCTTGGTAGCTCTAAGTTTGACATGGCACCTTCTGAAAATAGAAGAAATTAAAAAGCAAATAATTGAGTAAATGAATATACAAATAAATGAAGAGAGATGAAGATTAACAAAATGAAAATAATGGCTTTTCCCCTTTCCCTGCAAACTACATCACCCGCACCTGTCATTCGCTCTCAGGGTTTGTGAACTGTCGAAATATACTTGTTATCATCTATCTATTTATGTATTCGTTTATTTATTGGCTTTTTCTTCTTTCAACCACGTGACCCAACGTAGTCTCGTCTTCTCGAATTGTAAGTTTACCCAATACCAAGCAAGGGAACAGTGAGGTTTATGAAGACCGTCTTCATAAACCTCACTGTATGAAGATTAACGGCAGCGTTACAATCACATTACGTCCTTAACATATAATTGCTTTTAATACTACCCTCATATTTCAACTTTAACGACAAGTGAAGAATACACTGAATATAAAACATCATACTAATAACTCGTAAAATGCCTACGCATTTCTATATGCTAAATAATCGTTCCTGATCGAGTTCTTTCTCTCTTCTTTCTTTCTTTCTTTCTTTTCCATTTTGTAGGTAAAATACAAGTGTGTAATTTAGCATGCGTTTCCAATTCTTCTGTATGTCCAAACCGCAAGTTATTTCTCAACGGAAAAAATAAACATATCTAATATTTCCGTTCGAGTTTTAAACAGTTGTATTGTCTCCCTTTGCAATCAACGGATACTTTTTTTAATCTCCCACAGATATAAGCTATCCATATACTCTGTACATGCAATGAGCATTTTGTTGATGTAGACGTAAGCAACTAGCTACTTACAATTTATTCAAATTAGAAACAGTATTAATGACAAGCGAACGTCTGAAGATAAACGTAAACCGTCAAACCTGTCTTCTCTGTTTCTTTGTTCCTGTTTTGCTATTTTGTGATCACAATCATAATCATCGTTTTCTTCATCATTGTTAATATTATCATTATTATTATTGTCGTTAACACCAGTCTGCCGAAAAGTTCCACTAATACTAGTTATTACTTCTCATGAAGCTTGGATCGAACATATCAGCTGAAGGCGTCAATTCATATTACTTTTATATTTTTTCCGTATCTCTATGTTTTTCCTGTTACAGAAGGACGTTAATTTGCATGTATAATTTAAGTTTATAATTGTCTATCATTTATAGGGTTTCCTTCACACTTTTGTCGCCTAGATAAATTATTTTAGTAATTGAACGTTTCGCTTGACTTGAGATCGATCGAAAACTTAGGCTGTCCATGCAAGCTCTCAAGCTAAATTTTGAAAATTATCCTTTCTCTTAACAAATCTTTAACAATGCGTATGGGCTAAAAAAGATATTTTGACAAAGTCTGAATAAAGTTGACTTAAGAAAAATAACGTGTTGGATTATACACAAAACGGTCACCATTTATTGCCTTCGGTAGGGGCATCATTGAGGGGAGTTGTCAAGATATGTCATTCTGAAACTATTTTGCGTTTTCAGACTACCCTGAATTCAGTGTGAATAGATAGAAACATGGATAAATGAAGGCTTTCTTAATCAGTCTAAGTTAAAAGTAATCTTTTTATTGAATAGTCGTCGTATCCTCCCCTACTTAAAACTGTTTTCATAGAGGGTCTATGTAACTTCCAGCGTTCATACACAGAATCGATCGAGGTGTTCCTAAAGCCGGTTAAACGTCAGCTTTTCCCCACCGTCGCAGGACCACAGTTTCTTTAGAAACTTAGGCTCCTTTATAGGTTGCTTTATACTTGTCTTTTCCAATACGTACAAAATCGACACCTTTTTTATTCTTTTCTTACATAAAAAAGTGACAGCTGCAGGTGAGGGGGAAAGCTGTTTGCAATAGGTCTGAAAGACACAACTACTAATGGATTATTGTTTTTGCCTAAGGCCTGAAAACATTCGTTCATCCAACATTTATTATTTCAACATTTCCCAGACCGTTGTGTTATCAGGCTTAATAAATAAACTAGATTGGTCAAAAACCTATTGTCTATTGCATCGGTAACCCAGAGAAATTTGACACATAATATTTTTTGTTTTAATTTTATAAAAGCAATAAACCACACTTTCTGTCGGTTTACCAGCGTAATACCCCACTCGGAACGTTGGAAAAACACTCGAAAAGTTGTTTATCACAAGTAAGAGTGTGGCGCGGTGCTTAATGACTTTCCGCAAAGACAGCGAGAGCAATTGATAAATAAATGTACATGTGGAGTTTCACTACTTTACTTGAGAAAGATCGAAGATTACGACACTCCCTGTTTCCCACACCAAAAATATTTGAAGAAAAATAATCATCTTACTTTGGTGATTGATAAAGTCACGAATGTGCTGCTGAATTTATCTGTGGCGCCATTAGCTTTAAACTTTGTCTCACGATTAGAATCAGGGAGCTCGACCAAATTTCTGAAAATTGCTAGTAAAGAACTCTAAAGCTCTCATTTTATTTGCTTCAAGGAACAGCTAGCTGCGAGTTAGTTGCGTATTTCGAATTTTCTTACGCGAGGAGTTTGTGACAATTATGTGTACTGTCCGCGATCCAAGCAAAGGTTTTTGCCAGTTTAAGCATTCACTGATAGCTCTAATTAGACCTAGCGAAAGCTTTACCTTACGCTGAGATTCAATGAAAACAAGTCAGATCGCTGAAGAATATGGGAAGGTACTTATAATAGCTCAACGGCGGTCAAGCTTCCTTGCAAGTTTGGAACTGTTGTCTTTTAATTCTACCAGTCTTTACCTGTCACAGTGCAGAGAGTGTGGCCTTTTTCAGAGTTAGAAATTCGGTTTAAAAAGCGAAAAATGTATTACTAGAGATATTATATGTAACTAACCTTAATTCCACAGGAAAAATTCCCCAAAACGGTATTGAAGTGGCTAATTAATACTTTGTCTCCAAAAACGATTACCTCATCCAAATTGAGGTTCTTCTTAGTACAAAAAGCCTTTTTCCTTTTAAATACCACAATTTCTGGTCATTTTCTATAAACTTTCAGAGTAAGAAAGGCCTTCCTATGTCTATGCCCATTTTTAAGGTAACAGCGGAAGGGCCAGGAGTTTTTGATGTATTTTTAACTTCCTCATAGTGACATCTGCAAGACACACAATTGCTGATCGAAAGCCTAAACAAATGGAATAAAGACTGAAACATCTATATGTTTAACTATGATTTCAAGAAAAAAAATAATTTTTTTTATTCTGCCGAAGTGTATATAAGTTTGCCGTTTTCGAAATACTTTTTCTTTTTCATTGAAAGAGAAAATTACTCTTTACTTGCGTAAGCTTGATTGCGAATTTTCATCAGTATTTTTATTAACTACATATCTGGCCTATTGTCACTTGTAACTTGTAACAGGTGGTAAGTTGAAAGGCGAGGTATTAAAAAAGAATGAATTGTCTATTATTCGGCATAGCCCTCAAGCCCTTGAAAAAACTGTCATTTTGCAAGAAAAACACTGAAGTTGTGAAAATTCAGCTGGTCCGACTGATAAATGTAAACTATCATATAAACTGCGGTGTTTAACAACGATTTATAACTTGGGAAAAAAGGTAACTTCATATTTGTAAATTAGGATTATGTATGACTTGACTCAGTCAATTAGCATTTCATCATATGATCATGAATAACTTTTGAATATTTCGAAAAGCTTGTGTTTACTCAAATAGGACGCGATAGGCTGGCGTGCGCGGGGATAACCGCTAAAAAAGATTCTACGATAAAAATTCTTCCTTTCCTTTTTCGAGTCAGAGCAGGAAATTGCGATTCATCGAAGGGCGTGGCTTATTTTCTTATTTCTGCTCACAACTGTCCTTCAGTTTATGTTTTTGTCCGCTTGTCTTTCACGAACACGTGAAGTGAAACAAGTTTTCTTTATCCCTATTGTAACATAGCTGTCAAGGAGTGGCATACTGGTGAAAATGTCCTGTACTCGTCAAATTACAAATGCTAATGTTGAGACGATAGTTAAGGTTAGGCGTGCGCCGAATACAAGACTTTTGTGTGTAGGTTAGATGTCGTTGGTTATCTCGTAATTTTGTGAATATAAAATTTGCTTGCTTGGACACCGCACCTATCAAGCCTAACAATGTAGAGAACAGCTTAAATATCTTTGTAATCAATCTTCCTTACTAAACGAATTTTATCTAGGTTTGGGGAGACAAAAGCGGTTTTAGAATTGTACCATTAAGAGTCACGGATAAATTTCTGATTTACATAATTTTTTTTTCATGAGATAAAATTAGTTCAAGACAGAATCTCACTCAATAGAAGCAGCAAAATACCGTCTTATATAGCTTCCTTTGTCATAAAAATGTCCCTAGGTAAAGAAAATTTCATGAGATAAATTTATTTCAACACCCAAGCTCACACCTAGACAAAATAAGTAGAAGCGGCAACATGTCGTCTCAAATAGCGTCCTTTGTCATAAAAATGTCACGGGTAAGGCGGCGCGTCATAATATCAACATTTTCCTGAGTGCGTGAAAGGAGTAATTTTCTTTTTCTGAATCATGACTGAATTGACTTTAAATTTTCTAATGGCCGACGATCCTTGAGGGACTCACAAAAGTTTCCTACGCGTAGCTATCTTAAAAATGGACGCATGAATACTAATAACACATTTTGAGGCCGGTAAAGTGCAACTCAATCTTTTATTTATGTCAAATTACTTATTTCATGTGGAAATTATCCCTTTTAGTATATTTACTTACTCATAGAGCCTCATTATCCGATGGATAGGGGCCAGAGTTTAAAGCCCTTGTCACTCAACGATTAAAAAAGATGCTTGAGGTTCTAATATAACACTTGAAATTTTAACTGCTATTAGGAAATCATGATTAGATTAGTGATAATGATTTTTGAGGAGCCGTTTATTCATTCTAATGATTATGAGTTTATTTACATCTGTCGACTTCAAGTTTAGCACAATGAATTATAAGTCAGCGATAACTTAAATATTATTGAGAGTTCAGTTTCTCAGTTCTCCGTTTCTGAATTTCATCACGCTGAATCCCTTTTAATAAAACATTTTTTGCTGGTGTGAATGGGGTTTTATCAAAGGTGCGCATTCATATATTTTCCTATACGTAGAAATTACCTGGTTCTGTTTTTTTTTCCTATGGGAAGGGAGGATGTTGGTGGTTTCTGTTCTGATACAGTGTATATAGGATTAAAAATTTTCCTTTGAAGAGATCTGGCATACGAGGAATATACTGTACCAACTTACTGTATTCTGATATGTTTGTACTAATTCGACAATTATAGCTGGAAATATCATGAACATTTCTGCGAAACATTACACAAGTTACGTTCCCGTCTGATAGGATGTTATATTAGAAACTTTGAAAATCTACAAGACTTGTACGTTCGCTTCGCCCTCATGTTTTGCAATTTCCTTTTCATTAATTAAGGCAGCTACATTTCGCAGATCTCTTGCCTTTTCACGGTGACAACGAGCAGGTTCTGAAATTGCTTTCGAAATGCACTAAAATAGTAGAGGAAAGTTGCTAGCAAAACTGCAATTCTTGCGCAGGTTTCAAAGGAAAATCGAAACCAGAGAGTGTGTGCCCACATTGGTATCCACCAACACAAAAAGCCTGCGGCCACGTATAACAGTACCCAATTAATGTTTATTTCTTTCAGTCCTGTTCTGTGGCCACGAGACTACATTATGTTGATGCTCATTGGTTTTGAGAAATATCTTGTAATAACTGAAAATACCGATACTTAATGGTAAATCAAGAAGCAATCCGACAGCGATACAATAATGAAAGATTTGACTCTCCCTACTTGGGTAAGTAAAGGAGCACATTGCATAACTTCGAATAAATTTTTGCCGAATTTGTAACTCGGGCAATGAACGGGTAAAGTGCTTGGGAAAGCCACAAGCAACTCAACCATATCTTAGATCTGCGGGGCGAAAAAATCTACTTGTAGTGGTTCGTCTTCACAATTTTTACATATACACACACACTTTATTAATTTCCGATTAAATTTTACGGAAAAGGGCATGCCCGCAACTAGCAAAGGCTAATCTAGGCAGGCCATGCCTTAATAACCGAACTACAAAGATATGTTAAAAACAGAACTAAAAAGTAGAAGGCAAAGAGACAGCATTAAGTAACAACAAGAAAAAACCGTTACATTGACCCAATTTAAAATATTAAAGGTACAGCTACTGTTTATAAAAATAGTCAGGACAGATCAGGAGAAGTATTACCAGGATTTTACATTTTGTATAATCTCAGATAAATCTTTTTAAGAGTCTTGGGAACCTAATATGTTGAATAAAATTTGTTTGAGTTTTCTTTTAAACGCATTTTCGGAAAGATTTCTTAATGCTTGAGGTATTACATTCCACACTTTTACTCCTATTCGAGAGAAGGAATTCGCTTGAACGGATAGCCTAGAAGGTTTGGTATAGAAGTTATTAGAGGCAGAAGAACGTGTATTGTAAGAATGAACATTAGATGTATCTTGATATAGATCTGAAATAGCGAAGAGCTCGTTTCTGCAACTTTAGGAGTTTGTCAAGGTAAGATTTACAAGCCTGATCCCATACTGTCAGACCGTATGTTAGGTAAGGAGCTAAAGAATAAAGGGGTAAGTTTCTAAAGAAACTGTGGTGCTGCGTCGGTGGGAGAGTATAGAGGAGCTAAAGAGCTTGGTATATATTTAAGAGGGTATGCGTTGACAGAAAGTGTCGTAATTTTTCGATTAATCCTACGGTTCTGCTTACTTTAACGGTTATCGGTTGAACGCGATCAAACCATGAGTTGCCAGGGTCACGTCAGTGCTGAATATACCAACAAAACCTTGACTTTGGTCTACGGAATCGATTAAATTCCACCTTCCAATAATCAGTTACAGAGGCTAAAGGCATTACCGCTGTTTCACATAGCAGATCGCTGACTGCTGAAGCAATGACATAGAGGTTGGTAGTTGATTGCAGTTTTGTGTTTCTGTATGCTACTATACAAACCAGACGGTTTCCAATGATGCTTGTGACGCTCAAAGCAACACATACACTCGCTTCAGTTATGATAGCAGCAAAGCTTCGCATTGGTAGCTCTAGAAAAAAACTAATAAGTAAACATATAAGTGAGTTAATGGATTAAGAGTCTGTTCACGTGAGGGCCGGGCAGGCGTGACACATGCCATCACACCGATTTCTTTCAAACTTTCATAGTTTGTGAGGGTCAACGAGTTATTCAAGAATCCAAAGTAGTTCGGGTTCCCGTCTAATCCTTGGAGTATTAGGGCCCCCACATCAAATCACGGGGTATAAGGCTAAAATTAGCTCGAAAAATGCACTTCCATCGAATCTCTCTCACACTAACAGAATGCAATGGATTTTTATCTTCTTAAGTCCAATGGTTATTTAAACGTTAAGGAAATAATTTAAATTTGGGTAATTAAATTGCTTTTGCCAATTTGTCAACGCTGTCTATGAAATTGAAATATACAGAACATTTTAGTTTGTCCTAGCAGTGGACATGGACACCATCTACAGAAGGGACATCTGCATCTCGACCTGAGCCACTGGAGAACGCACTTGAGCAACGTTTCGACCAGGCAGTTTTCTGTAGGGCCACAAAGACGTGGACGTTGCTTGTCGACCATCACATGACAACGAGCCGGCAGATAAGACGCTGCACAGGTGGATGTCAATTTACACCAGTAACATCAGGCCTCACTTTGCCCAGGAAGAAGAGGACCAATCATTCGTTAAAGACGATGAACAATGTTTCAGGTCTGGGACCATCAAGAAGCGCTTGACGGAGATTTTTTAGGCAGCAGGGGCGCTTCTTGATAGGGGGGTTATTAAGTATTGCTATTTGTTTCGGGAAGATTATGTGTTAAAACAGCTCCTGATCATGACGCGCCATGAGGTCAGAAACGTCTGCAGGACAGATCTCCACGTTAGGCGCCACGTGGCAGACTTCAGCATGATAAAGAGATCAGTGACTTCGTCCGCCTCCGGACGAACAGTGCCAGGGCCTCCCAATTTTCCAGACAAGATGACTTGCCCTTTGAAAATGACTCCAGTCTAGGCGCTTTACAGGATCGTCACGCAGGCCGTGGGCGATCGCTGAGGCAAGAAAGTATTGCTTTGTTACGGGAAGATAACGTGTTAAAACACATCTTGGCCCAGAAAGGAGAGGTCAGGTGCTATTAAAAAGTTAAAAACTTTTTCCGAAGGAGGCGGGTCTCCAAATAAATCCTGACCTCTACAACCCTCAGTCAGATAGAACTGTACATATAAACTGCTCAATTAAAACTTTTATTTATTGTAAATACTGCTGTAGATAGAAGTGTAAATATAATTCTAAAACTTTAATTATTATACCGTTGTATATGTGTAAATATCCTGGCAAAAATAATTCGAGCTGGTTACTCGATGATACCCCCAGTAGGTCGAGGAGGTTCGTCAGGGATCAAACACGAGCTGGTGTAGCCAACCTCCGGGGAGTGCCCCACGAATACTCTCAGATCTCAGGGTAGTACTCTTTTCGTTTGATACGACAAGGGGGGGATTAGGGAACCAAAGCCTCCTTTTTAACCACCTTTAACTTTATATCAATCTATTCAAACTAGGCACCATTTACATGATTTTTTAGCCAATACATTCGTCAATATCATTTGACACTTTCAACGCAAACGGAGCAAGAACCTCTGAGAAATTTATAGCAAAAGCTGGATCAAATTTCCATAAAAAGTTGTAAAGATATGTGACTCTTCTTTTTTAATCACCACAGCCAAACTAAATAAAAATTACACCTAAATAAAACCCAAGAGCTTAACTTTGCGCCAATATGATTTTCATTACAATCATCTTCGTGAAATCGACAAAAAAACCCGCTTAAATATGACTTTCGAATAATAAGCTATGTTGGGAAACTGATTCCGAAATATCCTACAACGTTCTTAGTAGGCGGCTGTTAATTATGTTGTAATCATGATTGCAAATGAAAGCGCCTATATGGAAAATTATTCATAGAAATAGTTTGGGGAATGTCTCTAAAGGTGATTGCACTCTTTGAACCGGAACTTTCAATTTTTTTCTTGTGAACAAGGGCTTTTCTGGTCCTCTTGTAGTTTTTCATAAACGACTGAGCGTCACCTCTAATCAACTAAAAGCGTTTTGTGCTAATTTGTTATGAATTTAGAAAAAAATCTTATGTTCGAGGATAGAAAATAAGTTACTGATTACATCACAGGCATCAGAAAGAGAAACTCAGGGGAAAGTTATTCTGCTTTAGAAGCTGGCTGTTAACAAACGGAAAGTCGAATAAAATTAATTTATTTTCCATTTAACCATCAAGCCCTTGGATCTGAAAAAGCTTTGACGTTATAGATAGAAAAATTCTGAAGAAGCAAAAGGTTATACTGAACGATTTTATCATCGTGCTTGCCAAATTCAAATTGCAATTCATTGTATTTTCATCACACGCATAGAAAAACCTATCCAGTTCTTACTCACAACCCTTCCACAATTTAGAAGTGAACTGATGTCGTCTTCTCGTGTTCAGCACTAGGCAAGGAGAAGTCACCATAAATAGTTTATAATATTAGACAGCGGGGTCTGATTGATGCGAGCAACACCGCTTTCCACATCTAAGAAGCTTTCTTTGGCAAACAATAACTAAATTAGCACCTCAAAAGAAACTACTCAAGTCGAGGCCAGTAATTTGATTTTTTTATTCAGGTTTGTTTGAAATTTCAAAAAGGCGCCTTCTGCGATATTACTCTCTCTCTCCCCGTCTCTCTCTCCCTTACCACTTTCTCTTTTTTAAGGCGTCTATAAATTATCCAACTGGTTTCCCTAAAGCATAGTAGAAAACAAAACAAAACCGACCAACAGCAAGAAACAGCAATGACAAAAAGCAACCGTAATAAAAAAGATAAAAAAGATAAAAAAGAATGGAATAACTTTTCCGTCCTGTTTTTAAAAGAGGATGTTTTACTAACACAAATTCACTAGACTTAAAAGTTTGCTCCTTGTTCCTCTCGTTCGACGAGCTCGTTGCTGGTAAACGCAGCAGCTTTCTTTGGCACAATTCTTGACCTTTCACGGCGGCAACAGAGCAGTTTGCGAAACTCCCTGCGGAACTCGCCATTTGTAAAGGCGTAAATGATGGGATTTATTACAGCACTCATATAAAAGAAAAAAACGGCAAGCAATGCTGTAATTCTTGAGCTGGTTTCAGGGGAAAAGCGAAACCAGAGGACAAGTGCCCACATTGGTATCCAGCAACACAAAAATCCCGCTGCCACAAGGATCAACATTCGAGTAAGCTTTATTTCTTTCACTGTGTTGCTTACTGCAGCATTGTCAGTACAGTTCCGTAGCGATGGCACTACATTCTGTTGATGCTCATGGGTTTTCAGAAATATCTTATGATAAGTGAAAATGCCGACACACAACGGTAAAACAAAAAGTAATCCGACAGTGATGGAATAATGAACGATTTGACTTTCATTAGTTGGGTAATTAAAGGAGCACACTGCATAGCTTTGAATAAAATCGATTTTAACCCAATTTGTGGCACGGGCAATCAACAGGTAAAGTGCAAGAGAAAGCCACAAGCAACTCAGCCATATCTTAGATCTGCGGGGCGAAAAAATCCTCTTGTAATGGCTTGTCTTTACAATTTTCACGTAGCGGTTAATTGCTGTCAGACCAAGAGTTGCTGGGGTCACCTGAGAGGTGAACATATCAAAAAAGCCTTGAAATTGGCATAAAGCGTCGCCAAAGTCCCATCTTCCGATGATCAGCGTTGCAGAAGCTAACGTCATGTTTACTGTTCCACACAGTAGATCGCTGACCGCTAAAGCAATGATATACAGGTTTGTGGTTGATCGCAGGTTTGTGTTTCTGTATGCTGCTATACAAACCAGACTGTTTCCAATGATGCTTGTGATGTTCAATGAAACGCATGCAATTGCCTCAGTTATGACAGCAAGTAAGCTTCGGCTTGGTAGCTCTAAGTTTGACATAGCACCTTCTGGAAATAGAAGAAATTAAAAAGCAAGTAATTGAGTAAATTAATAAACAAATATGTGAAGAGAGATGAAGATTAACAAAATGAAAGTAATGGTTTTTCCCTTTCCAGGCAAACTACATCACCCGCACCTTTAATTCGCTCTCAGGGTTTGTGAACTGTCGAAATCCACTTGTAATCAGCTATCTAGTTATTATTTATATATTCGTTTATTTAGTGGCTTTTTGTCTTTCAACCGCGTGACCCATCTTAGTCTCGTCTTCTCGAATTGTAAGTTTATCCAATGCCAAGCAAGGGAACAGTGAGGTTTATGAAGACGTATGAAGATTAACGACAGTGTTACAATCACATTACTTCCTTAACATATATAACATATTACTTTGAATACTACCATCATATTCCAACCCTAATGACAAGTGAAGAATACACTGAATACAAAACATCATACTGGTAACTCGTATAATACCTACGCATTTCTATCAGCTAAATAATCGTTCCTGATCGAGTGACTGTATTGCTAGAGAATCTCATACTACCTTTTTTTTCTGTTTTTTCATTTTATTTTATTTTTTTTTCCATGTTATAGGTAAAATACAGGAGTGTAATTTAACATGCGTTTCCAATTCTTTTGTATATCCAAACCGCAAGTTAAAGCTCAACGGAAAAAAATAAACATATTTAATATTTCCGTTCGAGTTTTAAACTTGTACAGTTGTATTGTCTCCCTTTGCAATCAACGGATACTTTTTTTAATCACCAACAGGTATAAGCTATCCACATACTCTGTACATGCAATGAGTATTTTGTTGATGTAGGCGCAAGCAACTTACAATTTATTTAAATTAGAAACAGTATTGATGACAAGCGAACGTAAGCCGTCAAACGTGTTTTCTCTGTTTCTTTGTTCCTGTTTTGCTATTTTGTGATTACAATCATAATCATCGTTTTCTTTATTATTGTTGATATTATCGTTGTTATTATTGTCGTTAACACCAGTCTGTCGAAAAGTTTCATTAGTTTGTTTCCACATTTACTTCTGGTGAAGTCTGGATCGAACATAAACTTTTTTTGATATTTCCGTTCGAGTTTTAACCTTGTACAGTTGTATTATCTCTCGTTGCCATCAACGGATACTTCTTTTAATCTCCCATAGATATAAGCTATCCATATACTCAGTACATGCAATGAGCATTTTGTTCATGTTGGCGCAAGCAATTGCTTACAATTTATTCAAATTAGAAACAGTATTAATGACAGGCGAACGTTTGAAGATAAACGTAAGCCGTCAAACCTGTTTTCTCTATTTCTTTGTTCATTTTTTTCGATTTTGTTATTACAATCATAATCATCGTTTTCTTCATCATTGTTAATATTATCATTGTTATTATTGTCGTTAACAACAGTCTGCCGAAAAGTTCCACTAGTTTGTTTCCATATTTACTTCTCGTGAAGCTTGGATCAAACATATCAGCTGAAGGCGTCAATTCATATTATTTTTATATTCTTTTCCGTATCCTTATATTTTTCCTGTTACAGAGGACGTTAATTTGCATATATGATTTAAGTTTAAAATTGACGATCATTTATAGGGCATCCTTCAAACTTTTATCGCCTAAATAAATTATTTTAGTAATTGAATGTTTCGCTTGAATTGAAATCTTAATCTTATCTTGAAAACTTAAGCTGTCCATGCAAGCTTTCTGACTAAATTTTGAAAATTCTCCTTTCTCTCAACAAATCTTTAACAATGCATATGGGCTCCAAAAGGTGTATTTTGATAACGTCTGAGTAGAATTGATCAAAGAAAAATAAAATGTTGTATGATAAAAAACGGTAATCATTATTGCCTTCGGTTGGGGCATCATTATGGGAAGTGTCAAGATATGTCATTCTATTTCTGAACCTCTTTTGCGTTCTCAGTCTACCCTGAATTCAGTGTTAATAGATAGAAACATGGTAAATGAAGGCTTTATTAATCAGTTTAAAGTTAAAAGTAATCTTTTTATTGAATAGTCGTCGTATCCTGCCTTACTTAAAACTGTTTTCATAGAGGGTCTTTGTAACTTCCAGCGTTCAGACACAGAATTGAGCGAGGTGTTCCTAAAGCCAGTCAAACGTCAGCTTTTCCCCGCCGTCGCAGGACCACAGTTTCTTTGTAAACTTAGTCTCCTTTATAGTTTGCTTTATACTTGTCTTTTCCAATACGTACAAAATCGACACCTTTTTTTATTCTTTTCTTACATAAAAAAGTGAGAGCTGCAGGTGAGGGGGAAAGCTGTTTGCAATAGGTCTTAAAGACACAACTACTAATGGATTATTGTTTTTGCCTAAGGCCTAAAATACATTCATTCATTCAACATTTTTTATTTCAACATTTCCCAGACCGTTGTGTTATCAGGCTTTATAAATAAACGGAATTGGTCAAAAACCTATCGTCATTGCATCGGTAACCCAGAGAAATTTGACACATAATATGTTTTGTTTTAATTTTATTTTATAAAAGCAATAACCCACACTTTCTGTCGGTTTACCAGCGTAATACCCAACTCGGAACGTTGGGAAAACATGTACTCGAAAAGTTGTGGTGCGGTGCTTAATGACTTTCCACGAAAATGGCGAGAGCAATTGATAAATAAATGTACATGTGGAGTTTCACTACTCTATCTGAGAAAGATCGACGATTACGTCACTCCCTGTTTCCCCTGACCAAAAATGTTTGAAGAAAAATAATTATCTTACTTCGGTGATTGATAAAGTCACGAATGTGCCGCTGAATTTATTTGTGGCGCCGTTAGCTTTAAACTTTGTCTCACGATAAGAAATCAGAGAGCTCGACCAAATTTCTGAAAATTGCTAGTAAAGAACTCTAAAGCTCTCATTTTATTTGCTTCAAGGAACAGCTGGCTGCGAATTAGTTGCGTATTTCGAATTTCTTATGCGAGGAGTTTGTGACAATTATGTGAAGTGTCTGCGATCCAAGCGAAAGTTTTTGCCAGTTTAAGCATTCACTGATAATTCTAATTAGATCTAGCGAAAGCTTTACTTTAAGCTGAGATTCGATGAAAAGAAGTCAGATCACAGAAGAATATGGGACGGTATTAATAATAGCTCAACGGCGGTCAAACTTCCTTGCAAGGTTGGAGCTATTGTCTTTTTAACTTTGCCAGTCTTTATCTGTCACAGTGCAGAGAGTGTGGCTTTTCTTAGAGTTAAAAATTGGGTTTAAAAAGCGAGAAATGGATTATTAGATATCATCTGTAACTAACCTTAATTCCACAGGATAATTTCCCCAAAACGGTTTTGAAGTGGCTAATTCATACTTTGTTTTCAAAGTTGTCGATTATCTCACCCAAACTGAGGTTCTTCTTAGTGCAAAATGCCTTTTTCCTTTTAAATACCACGATTTTTGCTCATTTCTATAAACTTTCAGGGTAAGAAAGGCCTTTTTATGCCTATGCCCATTTTTAAGGTAACAGCGGAAGGGCCAAGAGCGTTTGATGTATTTTTAACTTCGTCATAGTGACGTCTGCAAGACACACAATTGCTGAACGAAAGCCTACACAAATGCAATAAAGACTGAAACATCTGTATGTTTGACTATGATTTCAAGAAAAAAAATAAGTAGTTTTTTATTCTGCCGAAGTGCATATAAGTTTGCCGTTTTCGAAATACTTCGTCTTTTTCATTGAAGGTAACCCAAGAAAATTAATCTATACTTGCATAAGCTTGATTGCGAATTTTCATCAGCATTTTTATTAGTTACATATCTGGCCCATTGTCACTTGTAACTTGTAGCAGGTGGTAAGTTGAAAGGCGAGGTATTAAAAAGAATGAATTGTCTATTATTCGGCATAGCCCCAAAGCTCTTGAGAAAACTATTATTTTGCTAGAAAAACACTGAAGTTGTGAAAATTCAGCTGGTCCGACTGATAAATACAAACTGTCATATAAACTGCGGTGTTTAGCAAATATTTCTAACCGGAAATAGCGGCAACTTCATATGTGTAAATTGGGATTCTGTATGACTTGACTCAGTCAATAAGCATTTTATCATATGACCATGAATAACTTTTGAATATTTCGAAAAGTGTGTTTTTACTTAAATAGGACGCGATAGGGTGGCGTGCGCGGGAATAACCACAAAAAAAGATTATAACATAGCGCGAAAATTTGTCTAACAATAGGAAAATGAAGCACGCTCACGCAATTGAATTTGATTGGACAAATTTACTAGCTATGTTATAAATTTGCTTGCTTGAACACGACACCTATCAAGCCTGACATTGAAAAGAACAGCTTAAAGATCTTTGTAATCAATTAATCTTCGTTACTAAACGAATTTTGTCCAGGTTTGGGGAGACAAGAGCGGTTTTACAATTGTGTCATTAGGATTCCCGGATAAATTTCTGATTTACATAATTTTTTTCATGAGATAAATTCAGTTCAAGACACAATCTCACTCGATAGGAGCAGCAACATACCGTCTTAAATAGCGTCCTTCGTAATAAAAATGTCTCTAGATAAAGAAAAGTTCATGAGATAAATCTATTTCAAGCCCCAAGCTCACACTCAGACAAAATAAGTAGAAGCGGGAACATGTCGTCTCAAATAGCGTCCTTTGTCATAAAAATGTCCCAGGTAAGGCGGCTCGTCATAATATCAACATTTTCCCGTGTGTGTGAAAGGATTAATTTTTTTTTTCTGAATCATAACTGAATTGAGATTAGACTTTCTGATAGCCGACGATCCTTGAGGGACTCACAAAGGTTTCCTTCGCGTAGCTGTCTTAAAAATGGACACCTTAGGACTAATAACACATTTTGAGGATGGTAAAGTGCAACTTAATCTTTTATTTATGTCAAATTACTTATTAAATATGGAAATCTTTCTCATTTTTAGTATATTTACCTGCTCGAAGAAACTCACTATCCGATGGATAGGGGCTAAGAGTTTGAAGCCGTTGCCACCCAAAGATTAAAAAAGATGCTCGAGGTT